AGACTAATCAGGGCCAGGCAGGGAAGAGGAAGGAGGAACACTAAGGGATCTGCTGGAGGGAATACTTGATTTGTGGGATTATTGTGTTAAAGAGGCTCTTTCTCACCAAACTAGTAAATGGAAGACGAATGGAAGAGCTCTCTGAGTTTTCTGGAAAATCACTAGATTAAGATGCATTAGTACATACACTAATCCACTGTTAATAACTCATCCAATGTGACTTAAACTTCAAATTACATTAACAGAGTTAAACCAACTATTACTATTTTACTTTATCATTATTATTGTTATTATTAGTAGTAGTATTATTAGTATTATTAATGTTGCATACTCTTGGTGATATTATGAACCATATCTTACATTTCTTTTATTGTTTTGTTGTTTTTTTTTTCTTAATTTTATTCCATATGTATATTGTTATTTTATGACTTTTTCTATACATGCTCACTATCTGCTCACAGCTAGAAAAGTTATATCACATTTGCTCTGAAAAAAGAGCTGCTCTATTACTAAGAATAGCTGGTTAAATACTACAAGACGTTTTCCCTTACGTGTTTTCTAGTTTGGTTAATGTAGGTGCTTCCACTGCAGCTCAGAATTCCACCTTACATTCTACTCTGTATTTCCAGCTCATATCCTGCTTTCACAATTTCCATTGGCAGTCTGCTCAGCTATTTATTTGTCCCACAGTTTTAACAAAACAGACTGTTATTAATGCGTATGACATGTTTACTTGATTACATGTTCATCATATTCACATATTCACAAGCTGCAATCAATCATGTGGAAAAATATCTTTGCAGACTTTGAAAAACTGAAAATATGTATCTGGAAAAGAATGGTAGCTGTAATAAAGGCAAAGAGTGGACATGTTAAATGCTGAAAATGTGATAAATGTAGTTGTTGAGAGTCTGTGTAAATTTGTAATCTGTTAAATACATGTTTTCTGCTTTGCTCTTAATTGTTATTTTGACTGTAAATAAAGTCAATGAAAGTTTGTCTTTTTTACAGTACTGTAAGTAAGTAAATAAGAAAAAGAAAGCAAAAAAAACCAACAGTGCTTCTGTAGGCATACTTTGACCTGCTGAAGGCTGGATCAGCTTTTTTTATCTATACAGATCACTTGAAGTCAAGCTGTACAATACATTCTCAAATTGTGAAAGAGAATCAGTGCACCACACACAGCATTGGCCTAATATCTGATGAATTCTTTCATGTCAGAGTTTCTGTGTGATTGGTATTGACAGCTGCACAGCAATCCAATCTCTGTCAAAGAGCCAAAGGTTTCTCTCTGTGGATTCTGACAAATCATGCTTTTGAAGAGCTGGAGTGAATTGGACTCATTTCAGCTAATGCAACAGGCCTACAGCAGTCAAAATATGTGAATCCCCACCCTGAATTTCATAAAACAAAACAAAAAAAGTTATGCCTAATACTTTCTTAGTTCAATGGACGTACACAATTAGTATGGCTATCATTACAACTGTACAAAGGCAGTGCAATACTCATTATCACTGAACTTCAAATGTTTCGTAACCTTACCCTCGAACTGCCTGTTTCACTGTGCTGGTGGGAAATAACACCTGTCAGAACAACACAATGCTGTGAAACAGTAGCCTAGAATTAGAGTGCAAGGAAACATAAACAGGGTGATAACTAGACTTTCCAAACTTAATCCTGAGTAACTGAACCTGGATGAATCCTGACTGTACAGTTCATTTGAGCCAAATGTGAAAAAGACACCCACAATTAACAATGACTGCAGAATAGCCTGTGATTGGTCAAATTAAAAGTTCCTCTGAGGAAGCTGTGCTGAAAGCCTGGTGAATCATGGCACACTTGGGAACTCTAGCAGGTCGAACATGGCGCATCGGATTACGCATGGCATGACATATAACCAGTGATGGGGTGATGGATCTTGGAGACAGAGAGGCTGAGATCAGATGTGTAACTGAACCTGGAGCAGATGTTCACCAGACTTAGACGTAAATACACCCTGAGAGGAAGCACAGCAGCACAAGCTTAATTTACAGTACAAGAGATGCAAGACCAAGCCTGGGTCCAAATTTATGACCAGGATTAGGACTAAGAATACAGTCTTCCATACGCAGCAAATGACATGAGGCCTAAAGTTTATAGAAGACATTGCAACAAATGTATTGTTTCAAGTTCTTTAGCTGGAGCCAAAAGCCATTATGGAGTTAAAGGAATGGGAACAAAACTTTGTAGTTGGATTCCTGAAGTGATTCTCACAGCTAAGGCCCATGGTTTAAATTAAATACTGGGATGAAAATGCGCATGAAGCAAAAACAGCTGAGGCCAAAAGGGCAACAAGGCCTTAAAAGCACTGGAACTGACACAAATAATACAGTTTATATGAGTCTGAAAATCTGCCTTCACTTTAAAATGCTTTTAAATGTGTGAATAACTAAGATACCACATTGACTGTCAACCAGGTAAAACCCTCAAACTGTTAAAATTGATGAAGATTTCTTGACTCTGTACTTTCATCCCTGAACTGAACCCTGTATGTATTTGATGCTGAATTGCACTGCCCTCTTGTGGTCACATCATTCTCTCAGTTATCCCAACACACTGAAATCCTGCTCCACACAGGCTATCCTGAAGGCAGATAAGTCCTGAGTTGAGGTTAAAGTAGAAACAGATTTTTCAATATTTGTGTGTTATGATGTAAACAAAATCATTCAGAGTGGTTTGATGTGAAATGTTCCATCCTAGAGAAATTTAACCAAGAAGACAGAATTGCTCATAGCAGCGGTGAAAAGAACCAGATGTTTGAAGTGTTTAGAGTCTGTAAAAGCTACCTCACAGAAAACTATTACGTGAAATGGTAATGGAATAAAATGTTGCCTAATACCTGAGACATTGTTCTACAATAGGTCTGAGGTAAGGTTTTGGCTTAAAATGTTTTTTTTTTTATCTATTCATGGCGGAGAGGTTTGTACGGGTGTTGTAAGGCAAAGAGTCCCGCTAAAAAACTTTTCCACTATTTATAAATGCTGTAAAGAAATCTGGGTCAGTACGTTTCGCTACAATTAAGCAGTTCACATCACACTGAATGACCTTGTTTACATCTCAACAATTGACTTATTTTTTAAAGTGCTGTACAAATAAAGATAAACTGAAAGGTTGAATCCAAGCACTCAGTCGTATATTCAGACTGCACGTTTATCCTATTATTAGCTTATATGTAGGCCTAACTGTTGTGGAGTTTGGGCAATATGTCATCTACATTGGTATGCCATTATACTGTCATATTGCTTTTCAGTTAGAGATATATCTTCAACAGATAGTGAGCATTATATCAATAATATAACACTATAAATTAGCAGAATTCCTGATGCTATTTGTTTTTAGCTTTAGTTCTATTTTGCATGCTTTTCTCATGGTATCCAACCTGACAGTTAACAGCTGTGTATCATTTACTGTGTAAAAGCACATTTTCTCTTAGAAAATGTGGCTTGTGTCTGGTTAATGTTTACAATACTGCATAAAGCTCCCTTTGGTGACATTTTAAGAGAAAAAAATAGAACAAAAGGCAAAAACGCAAGCAAAACAAGTTATGTCAAATTAGTGAGACATTCTTTTTGCAGATACAACCAGCACTGTACAGGAATGGGTCTATTAACTTTATTAACAAACTTAAACATGGTCTGCTACCATGACACAGTCATATATTGATATACCATACCATAATATGTTATGGTACTCGAAAATATCATGGTACTGAATTTTATCAATATTGCCCAGAAATACTTGATACCACCATAATCCATAAGGGTGTAATACTTTCAAAAAAGTTTCGAAAAAAGAAAAAACTGTAAAAAAATGCAAAACTCTTTCGCTCCTACGATTATTGATCTGTAGAATTAACATTTTTAAACATAGAAAATATCAAAAGTAGAAATTAATCCTGACCTCAGAATAGACTGATATGAAACATGTATCGTTATAGCTCTGGTAATCTGGCAGACAAAGTATAAACACATTCATGATCATTACTGAAGATTAGGCATGCACTGGAACAGGAACTGTGGGCCGATGCCAATATCCAGTATTTTTCATGTAAACATCTGCTGATGTTGATGCATAAACATTTATAAAATGTAGCAACAGCAACCACATCTACCTGCATTTGTTTCACAGATAAATGCAACTTTTATTTCCCAAGTAAAATGAATAAAATGCAGACATTTTAGCATAAAAGCCCAGCACTGCCGAAGTAGTATATAATAAATGTGTCATTAAAGGGAAACTCCACCGATCTTTTCAAAAATTCTCTATAATTAAATAATTAAGATGTAAACAAAATCATTCAGAGTGGTTTGGTGTAAAATGCTCTGTTCTAGAGAAACAGTTAGAATTGTTCACAGTGGTGCTGACAGGAACCAGACATCCACACAGAACGTTATTAGATGAAATAGTAATGAGCACGCTGCCTGATGTCTGAGACATGGTTTTATGATCGTTTTGTAATAAAGTTTTGGCTTAAAATGTAGTTTAACCCATTCATGGCGGAGGGACACGTGCAGGGCATTGTGAGGCAAAATATTCCCAGAAGAAAATGTTTTTCTTTCAGATTTATGACTAACTTACCATCAACTTTACATATAAAAACTCAGAAAAAAAGTAGGATTACTGATGGTTTTAATGGTAAATAAAATCGCTATATTTGAGTTGTAGACATGGAGACCCCTGGTTTCTATCACCACCACTGTAAACAAATCAGGGTGTAAGTTTCTCTACAACGAACCATTTTACATCACATTACTCTGAAAGACTCGGTTTACATCTTAAAGAATTAATTATTCACAAATTTTGAAAAAATGGTGGAATTTACCTTTAAATAGGGGGTTTGATATATCGATCAAATCTAGACATCACTCCCGATACTAAGAGTTTTAATCAATTATCTGCTGATTGCGATATCATTTCATAATATTCCATCCCTGCTGTAGAAAAACCAGAAACCCAGAAGCTTGAATTAAAAATTGAACTTTTAATTAAAATCGAGACACACACACGGAAACTACACCGCAATGCCTTTTGTAAAACCTGAGGAGATTAATTCGCAACGCACAGCAGTGAATCACACGGCCGCTGATTCAGCCTCATTTCTTCACCTCTTCACTTCTGGGCGTCACCAGGTTTTGCCGATTTTAAAAGTCATGGTGACGATGCCGTCAATGCCAGCCTGCAGCTCATCGTGCTCCTGCACGGCGGAGACTCCTTTGGGTGTCCCGGTGAGTATGAGGTCTCCCTCCTCCAGCGAAATGACCTCGCTGATGTAGCTGATCAGGTAGGGGATGGAGAAGATCATCTGAGAAGTGCTGCCGTTCTGCCGCTCGACGTCGTTCACTTTGAGCCACAGCGTGACGTTGGCCGGGTCCGGTAGGCGCTCCTTGGGGATGAACTCGCTGACCGGACAGGACGTGTCGAAAGCCTTAGCCAGGGTCCAGGGCAGGCCTTTGGACTTGCACTCGTCCTGGATGTCCCGGGCCGTCATGTCCAGGCACAGGGCGTATCCGGCGACGTGCTCCATGGCCGAGCTCTGAGGAATAGCCGTGCCCGCTTTTCCGACCACCACCCCCAGCTCCACCTCATGGTGCAGGCTGGAGCAGTAGCGCGGCACCAGGATCGGCGAGCCCTCCTTAACGTAGGCTGACGGCGGCTTGAGGAAGAGCACGGGCTCGCTGGGCACGGCGTTCCTCAGCTCTTTAGCGTGCTCCGCGTAGTTTCTCCCCACGCAGACAATCTTCCTCCCCCATTCCCAAAAACGAGCTATGTTTCTCGCGGTCATGCTGAACTAAGACCCGCGTTTGAACTGTTAACTTACAGCCGCGATAAACGGACAAAGTTTCCCCAGCAGTTCAATGACCTTTCAAACTGCCCCTAACACAGTACGGAGCGCGGTCACTGACAAAAAAAGGATGCAGTTTATGTCAGGAAAACATGGTAACCCGAGAAACGTTTTGTGCAAAATGATTCGGTTCAGCTGTTGGTTACCGTTTTAGTCCGTTCGATGTATTTGGAAGACATTTATTTTGAATTAAGACTGTTTAGGGCTCTGTTCGGAATCGCTACCGGCTCTGTCGCTACATGTCAGCCATTTCTGTGGCTGTGTTCCAATTCTCAAACGTACCCGAGACTCCCTAAATAGTTCATAGTGGGTGTGTCTCGAGACCAAGAAGGTAAACCTGACTGAAAAAAAACAGAGATGGAGTTTCTGATATAAATATAAGTAGCTGTCATCATTACTTTTTAAAAAAGTAACCAAGTAATGCTGCTTAAAATTTGCATGAGCTACATAAAGAAGGGATGTTATTGCTAATTTTTCATATGTCAGGACATCACTCTCACACATCCCACAAGCTTCGCGTTTTGTAGGTCAATCGTATTTTAATATTTACAGTTATACAGGGTGTCCCAAAAAAATTGACATCATTTCGTAGTCTAATAACATAGCCAATTCCCCCTCAAATGATCTCAAATTTTAACAAAATGTAAATGTTAATTTAACAAAATTTTTAATGTTGAAGAATGGCGCTCACTAGAAATGAAAAGGCATTTTATGTGTTAGAATATGCTCAAACACAGTTAAACAAGAGTGTACAGCATGAATTTTTGAGAAAATTCAATAAAAATGCACCAACTGGAAAGCAGATTTGGACATGGCACAAAAAATTCAAAGAGGAAGGCTGTCTGTGCAGGGCAAAGGGATCTGGACGACCACCAGTATCGGAAGATATTACATTTGTGAAGCTTTGTGAAATCGGTTATAAATTTCTTGTTCGAATTTTGATAAATAAATCTTGTATTGTTCAACATGAAGCCTATTTAATTTCGTTTGCCCAGGACATGTAGTTACTCAGATATTCACGTCTCAAATTATGTCAATTTTTTTTGGGACACCCTGTACTTGTTAGCAAAATAGCAACATCATGTTGTCATATTCGTAGCTACTGTGCTTGTTCGGTTCACAAACGTTCCAGCTTTAAGTGATTTTAAGTTGTTATCAAATTTTTCTTTATGGTGAATTGAATGGCGATTTAAAATATTTTGAACATAGCCAGCAGGTCTGCGCTCTTCCTCTCCGTAGGGCACAGTGAGCGAGTAGAGGAGTGAACCATTTGGAACACGCGTGCTACAGACTCACTTGACTTCATTGATTACGCTAGACACTCCCCCGCCTCTGATTGGTCAGTGCTAGGGTTAAGGTTAAAAGTGGGCCGGGCTGTGTCTCAAACCGAATATTCTACTTCCTCCGTATTCTGTTGCAGTTTTGCGAGCAGCAGCGGTGTTGCTATGTTATTCAGGTCACTGGTAGCGAGTGCCTGCACTCTCGGTGTATTTGGAGCTGCAACGTATAAATTCGGTACGTTTTTATAAGGCCAATATTAAGTCTTTTATATGTACGGGCACAGAATGACACCGTAAGTAAGCTGTTTTAATCTGTTCGCGCTGACACGAGTCCTTTGGTCTTTATTTGGCTAGTGTTTTGGCCAAACGGCAGAGGAGTTGTCCCAAACAGACGAAGAGCGAGGGCGCTTACTAGAGGCATTTTCGAGTGGTCCTGAGTCCCATGTAACTTCAACGTAGGCGAATATATTCTGTCAGTAAACTTTGAGCAAGTAGTTTTGTAATCGAACTGGTCTTCATCAACAGTAAGTTAACTACCACAGTAGCACAAAATTAGCAAATCTTACTTTTGGTTGGTGCGTCTTGCAAAGTGTTCAGATATTAAATCGAGGGAGTACTTCCTCGTTCACTCCTAACTTACACATTATCAATGGTGCCTTTATATAGTCGAGCGTCTTTGGGGCGTTATCACGTTGGCCTGGTTACAAATTTGAAGGCCTAGATACTTAAATAGGTTCTTCAAGGGTCCACCATTAAAGGGAATGGTTCTGTTTAGTTCTGTGTAGAACCATTTGCTTAAAGGATTCTTTGCATGATGAAATTGTTCTTCAGATAGATGGAGAATGTGTTGTATGCAGTTCTACATAGAACCTTTTGAAAATGGTTGTACTATTGTGACAAGCTTGACATTATGACAATAGCAGAACCCTTTTTGGTGCTATATAGAACCGTTTTTAAAAATGTTCCATATATAACCACATACAACACATTCCCCATCAATCTGAAGAATCATTTCACCATGCAAAGAAGCACAAAAGCATGAAATTGTTCTATATAGAACTTATGGTTCTAAATAGAACCATTACCTTTACTAAAGAACCCTTAAAAAACATATTAATTGTGTAAAAAAAGTGCCTTTAACCCAAAACTAGGTGTGTACAGACTCTATCACATTATAAGCTTGCAATTAAGTCTGCACACGTACTGTTGAGCACTAAATAGTTCACACTAGTCACACTACATGACTGCAGGTCATTAGATGCTCTGATAGCTTAGGAATGTTAACTCAGGTAGGCTTCATAGTAAAAGCTGTGCTGGCATTAGACTTAAAACAATGTATGTATTATCATGTTTCTTTTCAGCCCCTACTAAGGTTCAAGCAGCCTTCTTTCATTCGATTGTAAGGAAATCCTCTCTTGTGGAGCAGTCCGACATGAGGATAGAGCTACTGCCCGCCCTGACTGATAACTACATGTACCTCCTCATTGACGAGGACACAAAAGAAGCTGCCATTGTTGACCCAGTAGAACCTAATAAGGTAAAATAATTTTACATTTTCTGCAGTAAAATTATGAATTGTCTTATGAATGCAGTAATTGTCATTTATTTGTGTAATCAGGTAGTAGAAGCAGTTAAGAAGCATGGTGTGAAGCTCAAAACCGTCCTAACCACACATCATCACTGGTGAGAGGCTTTGATTTATTGATGAATTAGAAGACCTTTACAACATACCTTTCTAGATTATTCTGAACAAAGATCATGTCCAAATGTAATGCAGACGTTATTCTGAATCCAAAGAGATATTCTAGTTATTTATCCTGGCTTTGTTGATAGGGACCATGCTGGTGGCAATGAGAAACTGGTGAAGTTGGTTTCAGGGCTGACGGTATACGGAGGTGATGACAGGGTTGGAGCCTTGACTAAAAAAGTGACGCATTACAACACTTTCAAAGTAAGTCCTCTGTTATACACTTACACACTACACTTATACACTGTAGTGTAGTACTTAATACATAAGGAAGTGGGAATGTGCTCTTTGCACTTATGATTGTAACCAAAAAAAAGTTTTTTATACAATTTACATGTAATTACATAATTACATATTTAATTACATATATAATTAGTTTATTGCATATTTATTAAACACAATGAATTACATTTACATTCTGTATAGACAGCTTCTAGTCTGCATTTCAAATTGTTCTGATGTCAAGAAACAACAAAAACATTGAAAAAAAGTGATTTCTTCTTTCCAGATACAACAATAACTTTTCAAATTATAATAAAATATCTTCTCATCTTTTATGATCACAAATGTGACACTGATTACAAGTATAGTATTCACACTTTTGACAGAATTTCTCTTTTCCTTTCAATGAAAGACGAGTGAGGACAAAATATAATATCGATTTACAACATGGTTTTGTTATCCCAGATGATATCTGCAGTTTCTGATGGTTGAAATTACATAGCTTTGACAGTTAAATTCACTATGATAACTGCTTGTTGTCTGTTTAGGTGGGCTCACTTAATGTGAAGTGCTTGTTTACACCGTGCCACACCACTGGACACATCTGCTACTTTGTGACAAAAGAAAACAGCTCTGAACCCCCTGCTGTGTTCACAGGTATGACACAATCATATGACGTAATGAGACATGCTTCAACAATCACTTCGGAAAAAAATATTTGACACTAATATTAGACAACATTATAATAACACAGTAACAGATACCTATATGGTTAGGATATAATCTGGGTCTCATTTCATTAAGGTTCTACATTTAATAAATGAAATTACATTAAATTAGATTGGAGTTTTCTCGGTTGAAAAGAAGTCTCTTACTTCAGTAGTCACTGTCTGTGTACTGCAACATCACTGTTATATTTTGCTCACTGTGTGTAGGTGACACCCTGTTTGTAGCTGGCTGTGGGAAGTTTTTTGAGGGTACTGCTGAAGAGATGTACAAAGCTCTGATAGACATTCTAGGGCGACTTCCTCCTGAAACGGTAATGTCTATGCACATCACTCATGTCTATGGGAATCATTCTGTCACTATCAGACATTTTATGAGTATAGCAATTTTCAGCCTAGTACTTTAAACATTTCTGTACTTTTCAGGACTTACAGCATTGCTATGCAGTATTATTGTCATATTTTGTATCAAATATCACACTTATAATAAAAGGTTCTGTGTCAGCAGTGGAGTCACATGGTCTGCTTGTGTTTCAGCGCGTGTACTGCGGTCATGAGTACACCATCAACAATCTGAAATTTGCACGCCACGTTGAGCCAGACAATGAGGCTATCAGGAAAAAACTGGCATGGGCTAAGGTAATTTATCATGTTGCCTTTCTATTATTTATACTGTAGTATATTTTTCTAACCTTGTGTTTTATTCATTAGGAGAAATATGACAACGGAGAGCCCACCATTCCTTCAACTGTGGCTGATGAGTTCACATTCAACCCATTCATGAGAGTGAGGTATTAAAATACAAGTCCACCTGCACTTAATGCTGACTCACACTGTGTGATGCAATATAGTTTCTAACCGGGGGTGGGGTAGTAGAGTGTTTGAGTGGTTTGAAATTGATAGGCTTCTTTTAGATGCCTTTTTTAAAGGAATAATTCAGCAAAAAAATTAATGTACACAATTCTCCCCGTACCCAGATATTGATGTCCAATTTATGCCCCTGGAGCTACAAAGCTAACATTGTAAATAAACTCTAGAAGTCAATAGTCACCCTAAACTTTCCTGTAAATAAGTCAACAAAACTTCTCTTAACCTACCTAAACCTCATCTAGGTGTTCAGTAAGGTTTTCCAGACTTGTCAGTATAGTTTAATACACAGTATGACTGATTTATGAGTTATAAAAACAAACAAAATGCTTGGAGCAGCTAGTATAGACAGCAGGTGTTGCACTGAATTCCAACTGTACATAACGGTGGGTTTTAAGAAGAAATTTCTTCGTAGAAACAGAAATAGCAAACATGATCTAGTGTCCATATGCCTCCGAAGGAGAGAAGGGTTCTGTAAGGAAGTCATAATTTGGCACAACACCTGTGTCCTAAGCCACATATGGGTGGCCTTAATGAAGATCTGGGTGCAGTTTGAGTGTGTTAAAATAGTATAGGATTTTTTTTTTTTTTTGAGGCAACATTAGCCTTGTATCTCTGGCACTAAACTATAGATGCTAAAATTTAGACATCAAACATGTTTTGGCTAATCAACTACATCTGGGTTAAGTGGAAAAATCAATTTTTTTACCAAACCATTGCATTAAGTGAAGTGCTGCAATTATAAGTGAATTGCATTAAGTGAAGTGCTGCTCATTTTAAAGCTTAGCAGTTTTTAAAGAAAAATAATGGGTCAATATTGGACAGTACTCAAGGTTTCGTATCGGAATCGAAAAAGAAAAAGTGATATTGTACCTAATCCTAATTGATTGTAATAAAATTTCCAGATGTGTTTTACACTCCTAATCATGTTGTCACTTTTTGCTGTAGAGAGAAGTCAGTTCAGGAGCATGCTGGGACAAGCGATCCCATAGAGACCATGAGGAGCATCCGTAAGGAGAAGGACGGCTTCAAAGTGCCCAAAGACTGAGTTTACACTGGTGTGGAGCTCATGCTGTCTTAAGGATAACTACCACTACTATGCGTCTTAGTGCACTTCATGCTCTTTTGAAGGAAAACTAGCAGAGACTAGGCTGCACAACAGGCAATAGATATATTAATGTCAATCCAAAATTCGTAAACACTCCTATAGGGGTAAAGATTTGATTTGAATGTTCGTTTGGCATGTGGTCAGCTTGTCCACAATGAGCACTACAAGAAAGGGTGGCGACACTCCAGTCTTGGAAGGCTACAGCACTCTGGTTATGTGTTTTCATTACTCTGACTGCCTGATTCCACTTATCAAACTAATCTAGTGATCAACTAGTTATCAAATGAATATGTGAATTGAACTGGAAGTGTTATAGTAGAAAAAAACATGAAACTGTGTTCCACTGTGGCCCCTCATGACTGGAGTTAGATTTGGATTAGTGTTTATGTGGTAGAAGACTTGTTTTCAAATAGAAATGGCACGAAAGCTAGCAGATAAAACACATTACGCATCCATTTTCTAAGTTTAAGATACGTATCACTGGCACCTGTAGAATCTGTGAGGAATACAAGCATAGGTGCTCAGTTTTGAGTTCTTGCTTTGATAACATTCAGTTTGGCATTTTTTGGAAAGACTTCTATATTTGTTCCGGCTGACTGCAACATGTATAGCTGTGGTGAGTATAAGGTGAAATGTATTTAAATCAGAAACCTGCCAGGTGAGTGACTGACAGCCATATTTATGTTGTGGTTTTGAGAGCAGGGATTATTAATTACTAAAGTTATGTCTTAATGTGCAATGTTTTTTTATTTTGTAAATTGAAGAGAAGTATTTTTAAGAATATGAGAACGTTACACTATTTGTGGTGTAAGAGAAAGATTATATATGAGACTTACAGATCTCCAAATATTACTAGCATGTCCAGATATGAAATACTCATATCTCAGTAATACTGCTTTTAATTTCATATTTAGGGTTGCTTGTAGATCTCTTTATTTTGAGTTCGTTTAGAGCCGTTCTGCTTCAGCATTGTGCAATCGTTTGAGCAGTTTACATGCTAATTTCCAGTAATTATTTTAGCCAGTCTTGCACTTTCTATCCTCAGAAGCAACAGAATGATGATTGTATTTCACCGTGTCCAATAAAGCACACGAGAAAGTCAAAAGCTTCTGTCCATTTTCTCTATCACCTTCCTTACATCACTGGCTAGCAATATTAATATCTTTCTTCTATGTTTTTTTATGTTAAAGGGAAGTTGCACCCATGGTAAAAAAAAATGTCTGCTTAAACTGGAATTCTGCTTTAAAAAAACAAAAAAAAAACATATACATAAAAAACCTTAAGATATAAAGAGAGTCCTTCATAGTGGTTTGGTATGAAATGCTCCGTTCTATTACAGAAACATAATTGTTCACGGTGGGGGTGGTGGAAGAGTTTAATGCCTCTAAAAGCTCCTTCACTGAAAGTTGTTACACATAATGGCTACAAATGCTTTGTCTGATGTCAGACCCATTGTTTTAGAATAGTTTTGTGATTAGGTTCTGGCCTAAAATCTATCTTAGTAATTTAAAAAAAAAGTGAATTTATGGCAGAGGGACAAAATAGTCCCCCAGAAGACCTTATTTGTTCAGATTTACCACTATTCTAGAATCAGAAACATAAAAACTCAGAAGACATACGCAAGGTCCCTGGTGGTTTTGGAGAGTAGATAAAAACAACTGTATTTGTTTTCTAGTCGTTGACTCCTGGTTCCTATCACCACCTCTGTAAAAAAATCAGTAAAGTTCTCTAGAATGGAAGATTTCACATCAAACTACTCTTAACTTTGTTTACATCTCAGCCACTGATTTATGCACATTTTTTTAAATTGTAAACAATTTTTTAAAGACGTAAACTAGTAATTCAATGTGAAATTCTAGGGAAGAAACCTGCCTCTCTAATAAAGATGACTTTGTCATGTTAACATGATAATTCGGTAAATATTTTTACTTTGAACCATTTCGCATCACACCGCTCATCTCAACGATTAAATTATGCAGAAATGTTTAAAAATCGGCGGAATTTTCCTTTAACAAAATTATATTTCACTCAATTGGCTGCGCAGAAATGATTAGCCATGTCTGCAGCGCTCTGCTAGTCAGCCTGGTGCATCAGCAAAAACATTCCCCAGTCAAGGCAGGACGAAATCTGGTCAAAGGTAAAATAAAAAATCGTTTTGCGCGCTTCTGTACACATTTAATAAGTCATACAATAGACATTTTAGATGTTACTTAGTTTAAAAGTGCTTTAATTTTTTTTAGTGTTTTTTAATCAAATATTTAGCACTGGTGATGTTACTCAACATCAGCAACAAAAACTTGAACCAAAATGTGAACGTGTTTTAGCAATACTGACTAATTTAATTTAATTTTGTTTAAAAGTGGCTTGACTTAAAACTACAAATGTCACTTTCGGTTTTGTGCAGAGTCTGCAGTGCCTTGAGACTTTGAAGAGTTTGCAGGGAACCATGAAGGTGAAGGTTATTTCGGTTTTGGAAGACAACTACATGTACTTGGTGATAGAAGAAGAAAGTAAAGAAGCCATTGCTGTAGATCCTGCTGTACCCCATCGGGTAAGAGACCGGAATGAGCTTTATAAACAGTTTCAACCCTGTGATTATTGTGTCTTCTGAATTGTAATCGACATGAGTTCCTTTATCAACAGCTGCTCGAGATAGTGAAAAGAGAAGGAGTGAGACTTACAGCGGTGCTGACTACTCACCATCACTGGTACGTGTCATTTAAACATGAGGCTGAATTTGGCTTCTTATTCGCCAGGTTTTTTGTTGAAATTTTCCCGTTCCACCTTAAATGTAGCAGCAGTTACGCACCAGAATATAACTCGGAGACGTTGACTGTGATGTAACTGCTGCACCATTTAAGGTGGACTGGGAAAATTCTAATAAGAAGCTTCATTTAAACCACATCTCTTACTGACTGTCCCTGAACAGCTTAAACTGAATGGCTGTCACCTCGTCTTTAGTTGTTGTGTGGTGTGTGCAGGGACCATGCCCGGGGGAATGAAGCCCTGGTCAAAGAGATTCCTGAATTGCGAGTATATGGAGGAGATGACCGCATCGCTGGACTGACCCACAAAGTCACTAATGGTCAGGAGCTCAAGGTATGATCAAAAGCATGCGAATCAGTTTAACCATTACAGTATCTCAGGCATTACATGAGTGTAAAAATGCTGGACCTCTGAAGTATACAATCTGTTGTGGGTACTGGGGGTATTTCATGAAGCAGGATTTCTGAACTGAATCTGGAGGTTGGTGACAGATCTGATTTAACTCTGATTCAACACATTTGATTCAACTCAGCAGCCTAACTGCCATGTTTAGCAGCTGTGTTAATTGGAGAAAAATCGCCAGAAATGTGCAGCACACCGGACCGGCTCTCCAGGACTGCTGTTTGCCACCCTTGATTTAAAGGGGAATTCCACAAATTTTTCTAAATTTTGATATTTGTTGAAATAATTAATTTCTGAGAAACTTGTTGGCTCAGATTTCTTACAGTGGTGGTGGTGGTATGAATTAGAGATTGCACAAATATAGCCATTTTATTTTTTGTCAGTTTATTTACTATTATAAAACACCAGTGAACTTTCATCGTTTCATATGTAATGTTGAAAATAGTGATAAATCTGAAAAAAATCATTTTCTTTGGATACTAAAGTGCCTTACAGTGTCCTGCATGTACCTCTTTGCGGTGAAAAAGTCTGAAGCTTAGTGTAAAATCAGAATCACTTTATTTTGCCGAGTATGTTACATGTAACAAGTCTGACTCGACAGGATTTCTAGAATGGAGCATTTTACGTCAAACCACTCTGAATGACTTGTATCCATCTCAGCCACTGAATTATACAGAAAATTATACAGAATTGTACAGAAAATCTGTGGAGTTCCCCTTTAAGCCCAACCTCAACGGACCGTCCTATTGCACAACCCTCAAGTTTTCTGGCCATCTGAGAAGTCCTGCTTTGTGAAATACCCCCATAGCTTTTCACATGAGCCTAAAAATACTGCCTTTATTTCATTGTGGATACTATGGACTGAGACTATGTATCAGATTCTGGAAACAATATAAATACGATTTCAGCTCTATTTGTTGTCCCTTTGCCCCTAGTTTAATACTATAAATGTCAGATGTCTGTTCACGCCTTGCCACACTTCAGGACATATGTGCTACTTCATGTGGGAAGATGACTGCACCGATTCTCCTGCTGTTTTCACAGGTTCGTGACTTTGTGTTTTGCTGATATTAGTTTTTTTAATGCAGTGATTCAGTCTTTATTTTAAAGTGATGGCCAGAAATCAGTTTCGCTGATTACACTGCCTTACTGGCAAACTTAAGTGCCAGTAACAACCAAATGTATTCAGGTTACTTAACAACTTGATGATGTAGGCGTTCGGTGCACATGATGCCTCCATTACTTGTTAGCTACATTGGCCCTGTAGCCCTAGCTTAAAACTAAAGAGGCAGAAGATACCATACATGTTGTGGCTGATGGACTGCATCTCAGGTGAGGGGAAAAATGTAAATGAGAGTTTTGGACTTAATCACTTTGAATGACTGTAATCAGTTTGATTTGCATAGGTGCATATTATCTGTCTTATTCTCTTGGAACATGATTATGATTCACAAAGTACAGATTCATTTACAGTTACATGTGTGGTCAGTATATGCAAAACACTTGTTTTTGCTTGTTTTGCTTTTTTTTGAATGTTTGCTTTATGTCCTGCTTATCAGGGGATACACTGTTTGTGGGTGGATGTGGGAGATTTTTTGAGGGAACAGCGGAGCAGATGTATCACAACCTGACTGAAGTGCTGGGAACTCTACCTCTGGACACGGTCAGTCACTGCCACATTTCACAAACTGGAAGAGACAGTCAGAACTGGCCTTTGTGCCAAATTACAGAAAGCCACACTGTGCCAGAATCTGCTCTCAGAAAAGCATTTTAAGCTCAGTTATCTACCTTTTTGAATTTTTGTTTTTCAGAAGGTGTTCTGTGGTCATGAATACACCATAAAGAACCTGAAGTTTGCATCATTGGTGGAACCAGAGAATGAGAAAGTGAAGGAGATGCTTAGCTGGGCCAGGGTACAGTTACCTTTTTCTGTATAGAATACATTACACATATTACAGAAAACATTTATTCTGGACCTACAAAACTATATACTGAGGATTTGTTAAATGGAAACCACAAAGGGAGTCCACCAATCATCTTAATACTGTCTATTTCAGTGCTGATATTGTTAAGTACGTCACACTCATCTACTAAGAAAACAATACGTTCTCCACAACTTGTGCAAAATGCGGTACGGATCCTAACAAAAACAAAAAAAGGAGCTCATGTTATAAAAACTGCACTGGCTACCTGTATCTTTTAGGCTAGATTTTGAAGTTGTGCTACAAGTTTTAAGGCTCTGAATGACCTTAAAGCACCTGCTTACTTTACAGAATGTCTGCCTGTTTATGTTCAGGACGTGATCTTAGATCTGCAGATAGTGGCATTCTGCCAATTCCCTCTATAAAATACAGAGAACATGGAGAGGCCTCGTTCAGTTATGCTTCTAAACTGTGGAACTCAATTCACCTTATTAGACAGTCAAGCTCAGTTCACACTTTTAATAAACATTTAAAAATGCATTTAACTTAGCATTTAATTAAAACTCTACGTCTCTTTGGTATTTATCATTTACTTGACCTGTGTTATTGTCTACTATGATTTTAAATTAATACTCATAGTTTCTTCTATTATTGTTAAGTTTTATTACCAGTCTGTAGATAAATATTTATTATTATTATTTTTAAGTAGTTAACCCTACTTCATATCTAATTTCCATGAACATTATTGTATAGTTTTTTACAGTGTAGTTAATTTTTTAGGCAAGAGATGACGATGACAAGCCAACAGTACCATCAACACTACTGGAGGAATTTGAATACAATCCATTTCTACGTCTCTCGTAAGTGTATCTTCGTTCATCCTAGTGCCAGAATAAACGAAAAAACTAGCTATATAAAGCTAAAACATGAGTTTTGAAACATTTTCCCACTTTTAAATTCAAAAACAGAACTGTGGATGCAAAATAACTGTCTTTAAAGTCGAAATTTAATCATTCTGAGGGTAAAACATTTTTTCAAGTATTTATTAGTGCAAAGTAGTTTTACACTATCCTGGGTTTGATGAGCTGGCATTGTACTTTTCTGTGTTTCTGAACTAAGCACAAACTAGAATTTCTTTTTAAGTGTATGTGTGTATATGATGATTTATTGTAACTTAATTCCCAGTGTTATACAATGTTCCCAATTATGGAATCAATATAAGCATTCTGGACACATCTATAACCTCTTAATACTTTAGAACTCATTAAGTTGTATAGTACTAGCATCATATTACAATTGATGATGCAACTGGAATTCCTTCATACTTGCAAATGGCAATTATTCTATTTATTTTGGCTCATCTGTTTGCTATTTCTGAATAATGTGAGGCAGGTAAAATTTAATTGCTGCTGCTATACCTGTGCCACAGCATATTTCTGCATAACTGAGTTGTCTCTTCCATTCCATGTAGCATTTTGTTTGATTTTATGTTATTTAAATAAGCAACTAATCTTTATTTAAAAATGTAAAATGCCATTTTGGCTAGTTAAATGGTAAATATTATTTTATGTTGCATCTTTGGTTTACAGACCACTTACTTGGACCAACTGGATTAATAATGTTTAATATGTTCGAATGCTCACACAGTGTGAGTTGCAGTAACTAAAAAAGGCCATTGGCTAATTTGGCTATGAAGATTTCAGAATATTTTTTTACATGCATGTAGGAAAAACGTTTTATAGTATCGATTTCAGACTTTTCAACAGCATTCTTTTCTTTTGTGCAGTGAGGAGGGCGTGCAGAAGTTCACAGGGCAGACAGATCCTATTGAAGTTCTCCGTGTGCTACGCAAAGAAAAGGACAACTTCAAGAAACCCAAGGAGAGAGTTCTTCCACATGCCATGCTTGCTCTGGAATGGGGTCTGCTCAGACCATAAACACAGAGGCACACTTCAAATACATGAAGCACAGAGGCCATCTCAATGGACACTAACTCAGACCCTTTATTGGTTGCGGTGCTGTTATTGCTGAACTGGTGTCTATGGTACAAACAGATTAAAAATGTTAGTGTATAGACTAACAAGAAATGATGTCATAGGCCATAAGACATTCAACTATTGTGAGTTGAATACATTGCACATTAACCACATATACTGTGCAGACTGAATAGAATGGCTAATTTTGCAGATATTCACTTTTGTTAGGATGCACATTTCTGCACCTCTTCAAACTGAGAAGGAAGCTTTTGTTTCAATAACACCTATTTTATGCTCGTTTACACTTTTTGCACACAAATGATATTGTAAATAATACAAAAATATAACGTAATAATACAAATATTTATTGCATTTACCAATGCCTTTTCAGAGGCCTTAATATGATTTTTCAGTTTACATATTTATCTTCAGTAAATCCACAGTTTAACATGAAAATGCTTTATTTTGAAACATATCTGTTCATATGTTTCCCTCAATAAATATGGCAGGAATGATTATATACATATGATCAGCTACTAATATATTCTGAACAGATTGTGTATGTCATCTAAAAAATAAAATGAATTAAGTGCACACACAAGTCACAGTGGACCAATTACTTAAGGCAATGTATGCTTTGGTCTGATCCTTCTGACCACAAATACTTGATTTTAGAGTCCAAAAGAGTGGAATCTGGAGGGTTTGGGCAGTAGGGGTCACTCCTACTCCAAAGAGCTATGCAGGAAGTTGAGCGTTTAGCATTCTTGCCTCAAATGTGCTGAGATGGTCAACAACACTACATGGATGTTGGCCTAAAAATGTGTACCTTACATTTTTTAAGGAAAAAAAAAGTTACAACAAAAGTGCAACATTAGCCACTAACTAAACCTGGTTATTAAGCAATGAATTGAATCAGATGTTTAAGCAAGGAAATCACCAAACTGTGCTGAACTGTGTCCCTCCAGGGATTGAGTTAGAAAACCCAGGAGTTACAGTCTTTGCATTACTGTCAACACTGTTTAAAACAGGGAAATGTAGGGCTGGGAGTCGATCTCAAAAAGAGTTGATTCTCTGAATTCAGGTATCTAGGAACCAACTGTCGACTCCAAAGCTTTGGATTCAATTCCACACTATTGCCCAATCTAAATCTCCAGATTCAACATGTGTTGGGTCTAATGTGTAATTCTGCCATTCTGTTAGGCTGTATGAGGGATAAATTGGATTTCATGAAGAAATGCATGTGATGGCCTGAATAAAATGGGATTATTTCCAAAACAATTAATAAAAAAAAACAAATTATTATTTAGTATAGTACATAGTAGTAAGTAGTACACAATATATGGGCAAATGTGCAGAATTTGGTGTAGGTATGAAATATGTAAGGGAGTTGCAGAGGCATAGCCATAACCTTTTCAATGAGGTGGTCTAGTCAGACCCAGAGACTTTAGGTTGAGGTTACTTTAAGAGAGAACAATATTTGGCTGGGTAACACGCAAAACTATGATAGCATTCCCAGGAACCGAAAAAATCTCTGATGACAACTGAGGTGGAAGCACATTGTTACTATATCAAGCCATTCATAGCATAAATTATTGTGGCATATTACAAACTACAACGCTGTACTTTTATTTTGCTGGATCCTGTTGTCATGATTTTTAGAACTGAGAATCAAGAAGGTTTTGTGGAATGGACCCAATAATTTGGAATTTGGAATCAAACAGCCCTTTGGACTGGTGACAGTTACATTAGATGAAAAAGTAAGAAAACATTTTTAAAAACATTGTCAGTATCGTTGCGCTACAGAAGCATTCATTTTTTTGAGACCTAGGCTGAATTAAATAGCTCCCTATACAGTGCACTGTGCAGGTCATGAAATAATAGCTTCTACACCCAAATGATGAATAATTCATATTCATATTCTGCCATAAGCTGTACAACTCTGTACATTCACAGCAGAATTGTGGTAAATCATATTAGAGAACATTAACTGAATGAACAAGCAGTGTAACTGACCTTGAAGTTTCCATGCCCTAGATAATGTTCCACATAATATAATATTTCTGACCAAAAAACATGAGACACATGTAACTGGCGAGAGAGTGGACTTTCGGCTCCTTTCACCACTTGATGGTTAGTCCGTTGGTGCTCTTCTCCACCGCATGGTACTGTGTGTGAAGTAGCTGTCGCGCCCTCTCCTCTCCTACGCTTTCTAGCCAGGTGTGGTAAAGTTCAGCCACGCGTGTGTCCTCCTCAGGTGCAGACAGACGCTCCGCCCGGTACAGTTCCTCCACCTGCTGCAGCAGCTCCTTGTTGGACTGATCTGCTACAGGCTTCAGCTGCCCTCCTCCATTAAGGCACCCTATATACAAATATACAGATCACTGTCAGAACAAAACCTTGTACCTACAAAATGGTAACTTTACAGGAGAATGAAAAAACATTCTTAATTTACAATGGGAGTTAACATAAGATTTTTGTCTCCAAGTCCTTTAGGATAATTTCTGTTGGCCCGTTCATCATGAAATTTTAACACAATGCAAAGGGTAACGGGAGTTTTTAAATTATGCAAAAAAGTAAAAACAGTAAAAATGGAGACAAAAATCTTTTGCATGACAGATGATATAATGTATATAATCTAGTATACACAGTACAGTCTTTAGTATGTGTCAGTGTTAAAGGGTTACAGATTATTTCCAGTATTCAAATTTATATCTTCTAATATAGATTATTTTTCTTAAGAATATAGTCCCGAGACCTAGAAATATATGAAGGGTTCCAAAACTCATTTTAGGCCTCTTTAAAGAATTCTCTTTTTTCTTAATATACGTAGTTGGGAGTGGGCTTTACACATACAGGAAATATGAATGCTATATTATGTTTACCATCTTTATTAGAGAAATAAAAATGTATTTTCTATTAAACATCAGCTGTTATTCTTTTCAAAAATTTATTACATCCAAAATTGTTCCAAATGGATATACACAACTTTCAAATGAAATTCTTCATATTTCTTTGGTTTTTGTGTCTCTATGTTGGCCTGTGGTATGTTTGCGTGGTGTTTGTTTACTTCATGGACATTATGGTGCTTGGAGAGAGATTGTTCCTTGAGAAGGTTATTGTGACATGAAATAAGGACCTGTTTACGCCCATCTCCAAACTATCCTACCAGACATGGATGGTCATGACCTACAGAAAAAGGACTGTGCTTTTCCATCATTGTAGAATTGGTTTAATTTCATTTGCATAAAGGTACAGTTAAAAGGGTGCTCTCAAACCCCTACCTTGCTGTAAGTTGGCTCTGTGAGTTGTGCCATGCTGATTTTGTTTTGGGCTTTTTACTGGGCTGAACCCTTTGCACCTAAGATGGTGTTTTAATGAGATCATGTTGACCTGTTTAGATGATTTATCTAAATTTTTATCAGTTCTTCAAATCACGTTTCCTTTCATTTTCCTGTAATCCTGAAAAGCGGTTTTCTATTTGAATTTCAATTTGTGGTCTTTTCTTTTTGCCTTGAATGGATGTTTTTCATACACTGCTACATTTTTTTTTATTAGTCTTGTCGTGGTAAATTACACAATGGCTTTTGGTGCAGCTGCTCGTTTCCAACACCTGGTTGCAGAGCCTGGTTTCGCAAAGCCTGCCTTTAAGGACTAGCAACTGGGGACCTGTGATGTTTCCATGACCATCTGTTTAAGGTAGGTTTGGTTTCATTTTAGTAATAATAAGAAATGAGCTGGCACTAGGAGGTATACAGGGGAGGAACACCATTTCTGTTACTATTCAAATTTAGGTAAGGACATACTAAATACTAAGAAATTCTGAAATTTATGGGAATATTTCAAAGATTCTACTTTATGCTAATAATATAACTTGTAATGAAAAAAACAACACAAAATAAAAGTATTTTAGCATTTTAAGTAGTGAACTTTTTGACCCTGCTGTTTTTACATACATACATACATACATACATACACATTATATATATATATATATATATATATATATATATATATATATATATATATATATATATATATATATATATATATATACACACACACACACACACACACACACACACACACACAGACTGACTGACCATTAAAACCACCACCTTGTTTCCACCCTCCATTTCTCCATTGTTTCCACTTTGTAGCTCTACAATTTCTGACTTTACTCCATCTGTTTCTCTGCATACCTTGTTTTCCCCCTTTTACCCAGTTCTTCAATGTTCAGGACCCCCACAGGACCCCCACATAGCAAGTATATTATGGGTGGTGGATCATTCTCAGCACTGCAGTAACACTAACGTGGTGGTGGTGTGTTGATAACAGGGTAAAAGGAGCTAACAATGTACGCAGAGAAACATATGGACTACAGTCTGTAACTGCAGAACTACAAAGTGCACCTATATGGTAAGTGGAGCTGATAAAATGGGCAATGAGTGTAGAAACAACAATTCACACATACTTATACAGTATTGGTATTTTAAAACTAACTTGGTAAGTTTCAGTAGCTGTTTTATCCATTCTTACCAGATGGACATGCCATAACTTCTACAAAGTGATATGGTGACTTTCCTCTCTTCAATTTCTGCACAAGGTTCTGAATGTTCCGGAAGCCGTAAGTGGCCGCAAAACGCAAAAGAATTATACCATCTTTCTCTAGGGTGACTTCCTGGAAGTCCTTGTTCCTGTTGTAAACGAGAACAAAACCAAAAAAAGGGTACATGAAATTAAGCAACATATCAGCATAAAGAGATATGTGAATGTTTATATGAAGCACAGTAAAATGACCTGTTTACAAATCGGTCTGTGCACACTTACTTGAGTGTCTTGTATGTGAGTTCTTCCACTTCAACTCCAAAGAGCTGTTTGGCAGCGTGTGTGTAGACATGATGAAGATAGCCTCCTGAACCGCTCCCAGCATGACCCAGCAACTCCTCCCCACACACATTGCTGAACCTAGACCACACAATTTATTCTTTAAATTCAATATTACAGCATAGTGTGTTTCATTTACACAGAAGGAAACTTACATTGTGTCTAATGGTGCTGGTTCTACATCATTCAGGGACACGCCTTCCTCTTCCAACATCCTGAGCACTTCTCCTGTGAACAATCAGAAATGCACAGCAGCACATACAGATAGGGTTTGTGATCTAAAGAAGGCTTCAGTGTCTTCTACTTGGTGTGTTTCTCACCTGAGGTAATGACACAGTCTACTTCTCTGGTCTCAAATTCGTTAAGGTAGAAATCTGGTCTGGACGCTTCAAGTTTTTTGTCATAGCAAGGCATCACAGTCACATGATATATCTTCTGCGGTTCAAGACCCTGTGCAACCATAAGACTGATATTATCCATAACGAATTAAGATTAAAGATACTAAGTGCAATATTTGAGAAGATCAAAGATTCCAAAACACATCTGCTTCTGTGCCAGGGCTTGAAATGTTGGACCGAACCTGATGGGACCCGACTGCTCATATCAGTTTTGGATGTCACTTTCTACGTAAGTAGAAAATTTCACATTCTTCTTATAACCTGCATCCTACTTTTCACAGATTTTACTGTGCATTTCTTCCAGCTTTAATTTTACTTATTACTTCATTCTCCCTCCAAACTTTCAATACCTTGACCTAGTTTTTACTCTGGCATGCTGGAGACACCCACTCGTGTTGTTGACAAAATTTAGTATTGAGGTCCATGAGGCCCAAACTCAGGAGAAAACCAATGCTATGCAAAGAAAACAGTGAACTGATTCAGAAGAGTACAGATTAGTGCAGCCAAAAGGACATTTAATTCGTTTGGCCAAAAATATTATTATATATGTAAAACGCAACATGTTAAGAAAGCTTAAACCAGATTTAAAAACATCTGAATTTTAAATAGATGACTGTTTTATTATATCACATTTGTATATAAACATGATTTGTATGAAAATGATCGTAATTCCCACATGGCTCAGCCAATTTGGATGGAATTACCCTCAAATTAAAGCTGAAAGGCTGTACTATGAGCTCATTATCACTACAATCAATCCATGACAGTAATGTGCTGTTGTTACAAATGTCAGGTTTTACTCAGCATTTTGGGCTGATGGGCCAGTTCAGGTCAGTTTCAAACTCAAAACTTATGATCCGGGTCAGGTCAGGTTTGGAAAATTTCAGGCCTCATTAAAGCTCTAATCTGTGCTACCTGCTGCTTGGTAAAGAAGCTCTTGACCAGAGAGCCCATGATCTGTTGTGGCGAGCGGGTTGTGCTGATGTAAGGCAGGATGAAGTCACCGTGAGTCTTTTCAGCATAGCAGATCCAACCTGTTCTCAACCCAAAAATACATATCACATAAAATACAGTTCTGCTTGTGAAATACTTGCATGTAATTGCATTATGTCATTCATATCTACTGCACTTTATTACTCTGATATGAATTCCCTGTTGGCCCCTCATTCGTTTAGTCTAAGTCTGTGTAAGGGGCAAAGAAAGTTTGATTTCAGTTTTTTCAGAATCTGCAGTAGTGTCAAATGTTTACCAGGGCAGGCAGATGCCAGCATGGGCAAGGCTTTCTTGTCCTCCTCTTTTCGAGCAAATCTCTTCAGAAACTCTCTCTGACTCTCCAACAAACTGAAGGTGCGACTGAAGCCAGTGTCAAACACATAATGAACACCTGAAAATCAGCACAATTTTTCATTGCCATTAGCTAAAATAAAAGGAATATAAATTCAACAAGGCTTAAAAGTACTTTTGTACACATAGTTTAAAACAAATACTTTGTACAATATGAAGTGCATTCCTGTCTCCTCTTTGGCTTCTCACCTAGGTTCTTAAAGAAGCCAGTGAGCCTCCTGGCCATCTCACTGCTACTGAGGCCGTAGTGCGCAGCTAGGGAGGCTCGGGACTGAGGAGATACTGACACCACCACAACCTTCTGTTCGCCACTGCTGCTCTGCTACAAAGTGGAACACTTGTTATATTGTCATACTTGTACTGCATACAAAAAAATTACATTTGAGCAGGGTTGCCCTAATTGGTGTCCCTAGACCAAATTTGACCTTGTAAGGATGTTTGATGTGGCCCACCAGAAAGTTAAGCCCCCCCAGTTTCTCAGCCAAAGAAAGAACATGTAAAACAACTTCTAAGGCTGGCTTTACACAGTTCATGCAATTAGTTACATGTTGTGAGATGCATGCAACATGCAATTTCTGTGCATCTTCACGATTACACAAAGCAATAAATGACAACACATTCAAGTACGCCACTGGTTAGGCAAAACCGCAGGTCATATTTTTTGTTACACCACATCATTCTCACTATATAAAGTGATATGCAAGGTGTTATTGACATATTTGCAGTATACTTTTTTCTTATACATCTATTGGTTCTTTACTATGTATTTTAAATCTGTTTTGTGTTTGTTAACCTTAAAATAATGTAAATAGCCAATACAACAGTTTTACTCATCAAATAAACACTACTCACCACTACCCTCTAAATGTGTCATTGCACTAGTCAGAATAAAAGAACTATTGTTGTTTTCTGATGATCCATAACATCTTAATAAACATTATTTTCTGCTTTTTACATGTACATGCATTTGCCTCAACCAAAAGGATGTAAACGCAACCAATTTACATTCTGCTTGTTGTAATATAAACATATGATTGGGAAAGCTAATGACAGTGGAAAACTGCAGTCATCTTAAGTAATTGAGAACCCACTACAAACGTTACACTCTGCTCCCATAATACAAAAGGTTTGGATAACCTTGCATAAGTCTCCTACACAACCCTTCTCAAAGCCTAAACAAATGTGAAGAGTACTGCACCAGAGTAATAGCACAAAAATCTTCAGTGATGATAACACAGAACTCAACCAAGTCATAACATCACTTAAAAGTGGAAATTCAGCGCTTTTTTACAGTGCAGACAGTGTGATCACTGGCAACACGCATTGGACAGCAGTACCTTATTGAGGCGCAGCACTCTATACAGCTCCTCATGGCTCTGCTGGGTGATTAGGACGCTCTCAGCAGAGGTGATGCAACCACTGCAAGCCAGACAGTCATTCAGAGTAATCTTGGCTTTCTCCAGCTTCTGCCTTTGGCCATCCTAGAGACAGGAAAAAAGCTGAATCACATCTAGCATGTGGACACAAACAGGCATAGAAAACATAAAAAACATGGAAAAAAAATAATTCAACATGTTTGATTCACTTAGTGTCTCCCAAAAGCTTTGCTACATAACGACTGTGTCCAAAGTGATGCTGCTTTCACATACAAAGGAAATCATTACTCTGCAAAAGTTGTAAAGGATTTTTACAAAGTTTCTGCATAATTAATTTGTTACCATGTAACCATAGGCCTTCAGAGTGATTTGTTATGAAATGCTCCATTCTAAGATTCTTACAAACTCAGAATTGTTCATAGCGGTCATGATTGGAACCAGACTCCCCTAAGTGTTTACTGCATCTAAAAGCTAAACCATAGAAAGCTATAACATGAACATACTTTGTTTACATCCTGAATAATGCAGACATTTTGAAAAATCAGTGGAATTCCCCTTTACAAAACCAAGCTTGGACCTGTGTACCTCCTAATTACCCATATAGAGTCTATACCCCAGTTGAAAATCTGCAAATACTGCATACAACGAAAAATATATTTTAAAAAATGGATATTTCACAAACCTGATTAACCTGAAAATAACTGCCATCATCTTCAATTTGGATTTTGGCCACAGATTTCCCCTGCTTCTTGTCCACTTTCACTGGCTTCACACATTCCTAGTGAACACAGCAAATAATTTAGAAGAAAATGAGCTTTAACTAGACATTAAGTTTGCCAATAATCCCAAACATCAATGCAATAGCATAGATGGCCTCATCTCATTTAATGTAGTAAAGCAAAACATGATTATTTCCACGTTTTAAGAATGCTATTTCTGCTTAAAAATAATAATAATAGCAATACATTTTTGGTATAATAATACTTCAAAAGGCCTATATCATGCACAACTGAAGGTTCCTCATTGTTTTGAAATAAAAGAATGAAATTAAAATTGTTCGCATGGTACATCAAATTTTAGCCTGGACTACATTTGTAATGAGTGTGATATATCTTCTTTACGTATAGCAGTCTTAAAGGCACAGTAACATAAACAGACTGTTTTATTTTTAATTCTACGTGATAAACAAGTTTGAGAAATGGTCACGTAAATTTAAATATTACTGTTTTGGGTAATTTGGTAATTTGTTTAGCTATAAAACCCCACATACATGACAAGTCAACCTCCGGGAAACATAAAATATAAGAAAAAAACACAGGATAAAGGCCCTTTAACTCTCTTAAAATGAAGTTCTCTCTCCCTTAACTCACAAAAAGCTAAAGCTTGTTCACTATGAGGTACAGTTTTGGTTTATTTTAGTTTTAGAATTCAGTATAAACTAAAACGCTGACAGAAGTAAACACTCAGTGAAGACGCAGCTCGGCTCTCCGGGTTAACTGTAACGGAGCGCTGCTGTCAGCTGACCGCTGAAAACACTGAAGTGCTAGGAAGCCGGAGGCTAGCTCGCTCGCTAACTCGGTAGCAGGCGATAACGACGCTGTAAATGCCTGAGGAGAAAATAAGTGTCATATTCAGTCTCAGGGAGGATTATACAGCGTTACCTGTGATGGAGTAATAAAATCGTCCAAATCTGTTAACTGCAGGACGCCGCTAAAGTGTGAAGCCATATCGACCGACCTCATGCAATGAAAACACCACCGCCAAGTGTGACAGTGTCGTAAATCTGAACCGGCGCAGTTAAGCACGACGGGACCCCTGTACACTTTGTAGTTCTTCTGCTCCAGTCCTGTAGTCCATCTGCTCTGCAGTTTTCCGATGTTCTGTTCTAACCTGTCTGATTTTTAAAGGGTCAATAGACGACGATACCTCTGCACCTCACTCTCTTCATTTAGTGCATCCATGTGAATCATTTGAGGACCTTATTAAGGAAAAAACACTAGGAACCTTAGAGCGCTAATCCACGGAAAGCTTGTTCGCTGAAATGAACTCGAATAAAAATGACACAAATTTAGTTTTAATTCCCCAGATAGCGAACATATATTGGTCCGCTGGCTTGATAAGGTCGGCACCCCACTGACTGTTTGCCACTGCTGGTCCACCCTCCGACCACCCAGATTATTCTCCTGCATACAAGTTTTAACTAGTTTTTAGTCTCCCTAAACAGATTTTAAATGCGCACAGACTTTTATTTTGGAAAATAAACTTAGACAAATATTACAAACAAATGAGAGAAAAAAAATGACTAGGCCTGCTATAAAAAGATTTCTCTGATTGTTCATTATTTGTCACTGTATTTCTGTCTTATCTGGGAAATCAGTGGCTCAAAGTAGCCCAAAAGAAGTCGAGTTATAGACAAATTAACATATGAACAATTTATAACCCAGAATGTTAAAGGGGAATTCCACCAATTTTTATCATTTTTTTTCTGTATAATTATACATATAAGTCATTCAGAGTGGTTTGGTGTGAAATGCACTGTTCTAAAGAAACTTCCGAGTTAATATTGTTCACAGTGGTGGTGATAGGAACCAGACATCTGAAGAGTTTAATGCCTCTAAAAGCTCCCTTACAGAAAGTTATTACATGAAATGATTACGAATATGTTCCCTGTTGCGTGAGACATTGATTTACAGTAGTTTCTGCTTGTAAAACAAATGTACTTTTTAATCTTTAAATCTATTCACGGTGAAGGGGGACATGCAGGTAGTTGAAGGGGAAAATAGAAAACTTATTATTTTAGATTTTCCACTATTTTACTATCATCAGCATTACATAGAAAAACTCAGAAGACATGTGTAGCTTTGCTGGTTGTTTTGGATAGCAATTAAAATATTTGTGTTGTACACATTGTGACCCCAGGTTCTCTTTTCTCTACAGTGAACCATTTTACTACAGTGAAGAAACAATGTAAGGTTTGGAAATAATGGTGTAAAAATCAAAAGATATGAAATATTTGTTAGGAAAGAAAAGAGTATAAAAGTTATGTGTTTTTGTGGGTTGGTCAGCTGTTGCCTGGGCCAACTCAGATTAACGCATGTTTGTTGAAAAGCCTTAATCATAATAAAAGAAATTGTGCCTTTTCCTGCCAACTCTAGTGTTTTGAGTGAACTTTTGAGTAAAGCTGCTTATTTTTGCCGTGACAAGAGATCAGGAGCAGAATTGCAGAAAGTGCAGTACTTCGCAGAATCTTCTGATGCAACCAATTCCAGCCACACAAAATTGTTTCCATAAACAGTCCAGTATTTCTGTGCATCTGAGGTTGTGAAGTATGAATTACTATGCTGATGAATCTAGTGAAGCCATATTTCAACAGATAGTGTCCATCACTGAAAACAATGGACTATCAGTCAACCAGTTTAGTGCATTAGTCCCCATGGTGCAGATAACGCATCATTTAATTATAGTCGGCATAACGGCATAAAAAATAACATTTGTTTTTGTAGGAAGTATATAACAACATAACATACAACAACCCACAGCCAGGGGTGTGCTTATACATTAAACAAATGCTTTTTGCTTTCTTGTTTTTTATATTTTTTAAACTAGTCTCATGGTCCTTAACCTCATGGAGGAAATGTGTAAAGTTAATATTTACCCCAAATTACCCATAATACTTTAACATTTAATCTGTTCATAGAAAAATAAATAATAACATCTGAAACATCCAGTGTAATGCAATGTCCGGTCTTTCTTCTTACAAAATTTTCCACATCAATCCAAAACACTTTAGTATAAGTACACTGATAAAATGGATAGATACTTGTTTCCTTTTCTAAACCACAAAAGGTACAGTAATATTCATTAATAATTCTAAATCTCTCTAAGACACTTTAACAGGGTTCATGTTGTATAAAATTTTAAAAGTTACTTCCTTTATTTTATTATTTATACATTGCCCATTCATACAATTGCCCATGTTTCATGCCAATTATTTTCCCAAATACAAAGGACCAATATGGTTGTTTAATTCTTTCATTAGCTATGACTTTCCTAATCTATTTGTTTGTACATTTATGTTTAAGAATATCAGTGTCCCCAATAAAAAGACCATTCTCTATGACATCCGTATCACTATTTGCTGAACCCTTAAGAAGCTGTTACATTTGCCGTGGTATAACATTAAAAAATATAGCACATTTTATGATTGTGACTGGCACTCCAGATTTATTAAAAAATCACTATATGTCAACAAAAAGCCGTCAGCATTCAAGAGTTGTTTCACTAATATACAATGGGCCTCATTCTCCAACTGTTCTTAAGAAGAGATTTCTTCGCAGTTTTTACAAAGATTCTGACATTCACCAATGTTTTCTTATTTGGGATTTGTTTTCAGGTAAGAACAGAATCTACACACACTCAAAAGCACAAAGGTGTGAACAATTCTGCAGTTTAAGAACACGTCATGAATCTGATGTAGACTTTTTCTTAGCATCTTTCTCAAGAAGAAATTTAAGAAAAAACAAAAAAAGATATTGAAGAATGAGGCCCAGTGTTATCAAACCATGTTTTAAGAAAGAGAGATTTATTCTTAAAAATGAACACTCCTATTATTCCAAATAAAACCTTTGTGAGAGGAAAGATTATGCTTATATGCCAGTGTTCAAGCTAGCAGAGCTTGTTTATGAAATTTGGACAGTTTAACAGGTCATTTTTCAGTTTTACAGTCAAGAATTCTATACTCACTATAATACTATGATAAAATGAAGATAATCAATACTGACATCCAAAATTATCCAGTGACCTTGTGAATCAACATTGTTGCTCAGTATCTGACTTGTAAATTTGAGTATAAGAACCCCAGCTGAAATTAAAACCATGCATCATTCCCCCACTGGCTCCTCTAGAATTTTACATGTTTCACTTGCATGAGTTTCTTGAATGAAATAAAAATCTGCACATTAACTTTGACAAAATAAAAACAAAGCCCTCCTTTTCAAATGATTTCTTCCACCCCTAGCATTAACAGAAAAAAATAGAAATAGACATGAACAATAACAATCTACATTTTTGTTTAAAAAAGAAAAAAATTAAAATAAAATAATAAATTTAGAACTGAATTTTCCATCAGTCTTCAAAACAGAAGGAACAATCTCTGAATGAATCTCTTTTCTTGTCTCACCTAAACCTCATTTGGCTATCGGGCATTCATTCCACATGAACCTCTGTACCTTTGACAAATGCTCTGTTACCAACAAAGTAGGTTCTCTTTCCTTTTTTCCAAACTTGCTCCATGCATGGCCACAGACGATTGCTCTTGAGGAATACATTCTTTTTGGAGCCCTTCCACAGTGCATCTCTCGCTAACCTGGACCTAAATCTGATGATCTGTGGCTTCTAACTCGGGCTTTCTTTTTTGGCTGTGAACCACATTAACCGCAGCCTCGCCCATATCTCTCTTGCCAGTTGGCAGGGCAGCTCGCCAGATGTCTTTTATTTTAGCTTTTATATTTTCCTCCTTTTATTCAGCAACTCCATACACTCACGGGTTGTACCTCCAACTGTATCTGTCCAGTTTATTCACTCTTATTTGCATCTCAGCAAGTGTTTTGTGCAGCTGTTTGTGTTCAGATTTCCTTTTCATTTTTGAGTTCAACCACCTGATGGCAGTAATCTAAAGATTTTTTCAGCCCTTCAATTTGCATCATGTTGTATTTCACCGCTTCGTCAGTTTGATCTACTCTTTTGTTGATCTTGGCTGTGAGACAGCTCAGCTAGAGAAGGCTCAGTACTCACACTTGAATTTCCTTTTCATGCCTTCTTTGTTTGCATGGTGTACTTGAGTTTGAATTGTAGACTTCATCCTCGTTGTTATTTGCTTTGCAGGTGTACGAGTGTGTTTCCTTTATCTTTGTCTTTTTTCTTTTTCCAACTGCCTTGCCTGAAATCCCTGTAGTTACTGAATAATAAGCCTTAATGTGTAATAAGCCTGAGATTTAAAGGGGTTAACTTACTATTACATGTTCAGTGAACTTGAACTTTTAAAATAGACAGTTTATGTAATTGTATAAGTTAAAATGAGCTCTATTTTTTTACAGGCACTTCTTTCATGCACACTCTCCCCTATGCATGCACAAGCACTCTCTCTCTCTCTCTCTCTCTCTCTCTCTCTCTCTCCCTACAGTTATGGGGTTAACCTACGCATTTTGAAGGGCAGTTGCAAGTGTCACATCATAAATAACACTGTGAAAACAGCTAATCGCATCTTTAGTTCTGCAGAGTATAATGCGGAGGCCTTCGTGCTTGTATAGTCTATGTGTAGTGAATTCAGTTGTTCTGAGATTCTGAGGCTCATGTATGGTGATGTATTCATTCTGAATGAAATATTTCACACCATTCCAAAAGACCCTACCCCATACAGAAAGTGGGCCTAGTTTTTCAGGCAACTGAATCCATTAAGCTGTTGGAAGCAGTGGCCTTTGTTTTTGTCATTCCAGTCAGGAATGCCAACGCAGAGCGAGTATTCAGTCACATGGAGGATGTTTGGTCCGACAAAAAAAAGCAGACTGTTAGTTACAGTGGTGAAGTGAAGAGTCCAAGTTATTCATTGAAGATCTTGAGACCACTGGTAGCTACAGCAAAAGGAAATGCCAAATATAAATGGAAAATTTGGTAAGATAAGGTCTATAATAGGTATGCTTTCCCATTAGCTAAGAGTAATTCCAGTCAGTGATTGAAGCACACTAAGTAAATAAAATGAATTGTGTTGTAGATAAGGTCCAAATATGGTAAAAGCAACGCTGTCACCCCCCTACTTATTTGTTTTTGTGCAGAGGGAGCGAAAGTAAGCACAAGCAAAGCACACACCAGTATCAGGCAGTCAGGTAAGCAGCTGTTTCTTCTCATAGTTTCTGAAGGTATTTATAATGTTCAGGGCTATGCGCAACCCTGTTTCACAAAGCACAAGGCCTTCGCTAATTCTGTTATGTTTGTCTAATGGACGAGTGTTCTTCCTTGCAAAGTGGACCAATTGGTTGTCGGTATGACTTTATCTAGTTTTTTGAGCAGACATAAGCGGCAGCCTTACCACCACCCCCTCAGTGTCACATGCTGAGAATGACCCACCACCCAAATAACTCTTGCTCTGTGTGTGAGATTGTTTTTCTTTCTAACAAGTAGGTCTATACAGTATTAGCACAGGTAACTAGTTCTGTTTATGTAGTTCCATGCAGGTAAATAACATGATAATGGATTTACACTTTTCTGTTTATGTTCAAATGATAATACTTTCATTTACACCCTCATTTCCAAAAAAGTTGGGACGCTGTGTAAAATGTAAATAAAAACAAAATGCAATGATATGCAAATCATTTTACCCCTATATTTTATTTAAATAGTACAAAGACAACAAATCAAATGTTGAAACTGAGAAATGTTATTGTTTTTTGAAAACTACAAGCCCATTTTAGATTTGATGCCAACAACAGGTTCCAAAGTTGAGATGGGGGCAACAAAAGAGTTGTGTAATGCTAAAAAAACACCTGGTGGTTAATTGGAAACAGGTCAGTAACATATATGAGCATAAAAAAAGCATACCAGAGAGGCTGAGCCTTTCAGAAGTGAAGATGAGGAGGGGTTTACCACTCTGTGAAAGACAAATAGTGCAACAATTCAAGAATAATGTTTCTCAACATAAAACAGCAAAGAACTTTTGCTTTTCATAATCTGCAGTACATAATAACGTTAAAAGATTCAGAGAATCTGGAGAAATCTCTGTATGCAGGGGACAAGGCCGAAAAACAGTATTTGCTGGCTGAGATCTTTGGGCCTTCAGGTGGCACTGCATTAAATACAGACATGATTCTGCAGTGGAAATCACTGCATGGGCTCAGGAACACTTCAGAAAACCACTGTCTGTAAACAGGGTTTGTTGCTGCATCCACAAATGCAAGTTAAAACTCTAAATCAAAAAGAAGAAATCCTATATATACAGGACCCAGAAACGTCGCCACCTTCTCTGGGCCTGAGCTCAGTTAAAATGGGCTGAAGCGAAGTGGAAAAGTGTCCGACGAATCAACATTTGAAATTCTTTTTGGAAATCATGGACACTGTGTCCTCTGGAATAAAGACCACTTAGCTTGTTATTAGCGTACAGTTCAAAAGCCAGCATCCATGAAGGTATAGGGGTGCATTAGTGCACATGGTATGGGTGATGTGCACGTCTGTAAAGGCATGATAAATGCTGAACAATATATACATGTTTTGGCAACATATGCTGCCATCCAGACAACGTCTTTTTCAGGGAAGGCCATGCTTATTTCAGCAAGACAATGTCAAATCACATTCTGCATGTATTATAACAGCATTGCTCCATATTAAAGAGTCTGAGTGCTAAACTGACCTGCCTGCAGTCCAGACCTGTCACCAGTGAAGACATTTGGTGCATTATGAAATGAAAAATACAACAAAAGAGATCCAGAACTGTTGAGCAGCTGAAATCCTATATCAAACAAGAATGGAAAACATTTGACTTTCAAAACTACAGCAATTGGTCTCTTCAGTTCCCAAATGCTTACAGAGAGTTGTTAGAAAAGGAAGTGATGAAACACCGTGGTAAATATGCCACCCTTCCCAACTTTTTTGGAATGTGTTGTTGGCATCAAAATGGGCATAATATATTTTTCAAAAAACAATACAATTTCTCAGTTTTAACATTTGATATGTTGTCTTTATAGTATTTTCCTTTAAAAATATGGTTTAAATGATTTGCAAATCATTGCATTCTATTTTTATTCACATTCTGCACAGTGTCACAACTTTTTTGGAAATGGGGTTGTATATTTAAGTATATTGAAGAGGATGAGAATTTACTTCCACCCAATTTTCATCCTGCATGTTAGTATATAGTTGCTAATTACTTTTTGGTGTGAAATTTAAACCTGTTGTGTTGCTTCAGAGCTTGGACTGCTTTGCCATTGCTCACATCTCTAAACTCCCAGCAGTGTTTTTTTAAGACTGAAAAAGAATTTAAGAACCAGACTGCTCAAACTGGTTAAGCTGATAGAGTGGTTTAGCCTGTTAGGCAGCATAGGCATATCTTTGCTTGAGCTGGATGGCTGGGCTGCAGTGTTGGTTTTTTATTCCCTCCATCCACTTAACCAGCTTCAACTGGTCTTTGCTGAATTTTTCAGTGGGGTCTCTATAGCAATAAATTCTGCGCTAAGAAGTTCCATCGTGGTTCTCAACCGACCATTTGAGGAGGCTTTTTTTTTAATAGACCAATTTACATTAAATCATCCTTGAATTGAAGCAATTAATGGTGTGCTAGTACTTGGGTATGAGTTTAGGCTACTCTATCACCCCTGTTCACTCTGTATCAGTGTTCATTTCAAATTGGTGAGTTATGTCAAAATGTTTGACTTTTCATCTCAAAATAATGATTTTTTTCCCTGATATTTTGATTTATGTAGAAATGACATATTGTCTCACATATTGACATATTTTGACTTGACTTTGACTCATTATATCTAAATAATTTTACTTCTTTCATCACACTTATTTTGCTGATATTTTGGCTTATTATGTCAAAATAATGACATTTTACAGTGGCCGAGAAGACCCAAGAAGCTGCAAATAAAAACGAGCTGCAAAACGCAGAAAACACTTTCATCAAAATTACAACTTGGACGCTACATTTTACAAAGGTGCTGCAAATTCGTAGACACTCTGTAAACTCAGAATGCACTTTCATCAAAATGACGACACCGACGCTACATTTCATAAACGCGCTGCAAATACAGAAACACATGCAACTTCAGAAACGCCGCAAAGCCAGTCACAACACAACAGAAGTGAGCCACAACACACAGGAAATGTCTCTGGAACACTCAAATAGCTCAAAGTGGATGAAATATGTAAATATGGATGGAAAGTCACTGTCAGAAGCAGATAAGATCGCGGACACTCATCCCCAGTTCATGGTTAACCTGGCTGGCTAGTTTGACTTGTCTGACATGTCACAGCTGTACTGTGGTACTCATCTGGTATTACTAATTAAACGTTTACAGTTACACTCTACAGCTAATTGTAGTGTGTAACTGTCATAGCAGTACAGTAATCTACTCAAATAAAAGTCAGCTTTTACCTGTGAATATTTGTGCTGCACAGAATTTAAAAGTCTGAATGGCTCGGTCCTCTCTGAGTGTCCTCCAGAAACACATGTTGTGTTGTGACTGGCTTATCAGCGTTTCTGAAGTTGCATGTGTTTTCTGTATTTGCAGCGCGTTTATGAAATGTAGCGTTGGTGTTGTCACTTTGATGAAAGTGCTTTTTGCGTTTTGCAGCTCGTTTTTTATTTGCAGTTAGTTGGGTCTTCTCGGCCAACGCACTTTTTTATCTTGACACTTTGGCTTTTTATGTCAAACGTTATACAATTTATAGCAAACTTATCCCAAACATTAATTTTATGTCAAGTCAACCCATATACAATGGAAATATATCTCCAAATACTTTTTTAACAAATGTCTCCTTTGCAATATATTTATGTATATTTTTTACGTATATGTAAATGTTAAAAATTGACACGCGTATCTACTTATGTAGATATATTGGGATGTATTTAAATAATTAAATGGCACATTTAAATATATTTAGCATATATGGTTTTGATATAAGCAAATATATACATGTATTTTTTCTTGTTTTGACCACAGTGGCCCTGCGGTGGGCGTGGCCAAACTCATGACAGCCTGAGAACTGTCAGAGAGTTAAACCTGTTTAGGCACAGCGCAGTGAAGAAAGGAGTGATTAAACTCTTCTCATACAGATTAAGAGTCCCTCACGTGCAGACTTGTCTTACACGGTTCAGCGTTTCATTCACAAGCACGAGCCGGTAAAACCTTTACTCACCTGAGTTGACGGGACTCCAGCGCAGACACCCCACAGTAAGTAAAACGCAGTAAGTAATTTACTACGAATGTTTGAATCGCCCATCATTACGAATACGCTCAGCTGTTACCAGTTTGAATAACAATGTGACACAGATATTTTTGAGAGCAGCTTCATTTACAAAGACAACAGTCAGTGTGTTGTTGTGATTGTAAACCACAATAACCAGTTCAGCTGTTGAAATCAGAGAGAAACTACACAGGCTTGTTTACTGTTGTCTTGTATATGAAAGAGAGTACCCTCTAACAGGGTTCTATAAAGATTCTATGACTTGTAACATTAGACCCTGCTAGAAAAACCAGCATAGACCAGCTTGGCTGGTCACCCGCAAAACCAGATATGTTTTTTACAGCATATCTGTTTTGGATGCTGGCATGCTGCTATCCAGACCAGCAAGAACCGTCATAACCGAGCGGGGAATTCATGCTGGTCTGTGCTGTTTTTTCCACCAGGAAAAGTGAATGCAACAGGTTTTCTATTAGATAACAACTATTGAACCATGCAAATACCATTTATGCAAATGTTTCTTGATGAGTGTTTACAGTTCTCATCAACGCAGAAGAAGACATTGGACACTCATTGCTTCCCAGTTGTGCCACTCTCTATTTGAGGAAGCACACCTGGATGTAGCAGCGACACTGACACGCAGGTGTCAATGAGTTCAGTGAGCTGGTTCCCGTCTATTCTGCACTTGACCCAAAGTCTGTGGCAACAGCTGATCTTCCTGGCTGGTTTCTCCGCCGGCTTTGCCTGATGTGGTGTTGCCTCTTTTGCACCACCAGCACACCAGTCGCTCCACCGCAGCTCACTCAGCGGCTTGGCAGTTTGCTTCCTCCTCAAGCTCCTCCTCTGCATAGCACTTTGTTGCTCATCGCAGTGTCTCTACACCAAGAATGAGTTCTGCCCTCTCTGCCTTGGTGGCTGCTGTTTGAGGGCTGACAGGTGTGCCTTCTCAGCTCCTCCAGCAGCAGCATTTCCCAGCGCCAACTCTTCTTGCACAGATTTCTTGAGTTCTGAGTGTGACTGACGAACCATCATGCTCATCTCCGCCGCCAGCATGCTTATCCACTCTCCTTTTAGCATTCACCACTCTGAGAGAAGCCACCTGACTGGCCACACCGCCGGTACCTGCCTGACGGCTTGCTGGAGAGTGACAAACAACGCCATTATGCCATTATGCCATTATGTTGTTCTGGTGGCAGATCCACAAGCACCTGTATAGTGCTTTCCTCTCCAGTGCCAGCCATAATGCTGCGCAACCACTTGCAGCTGTGCCCTCGCTGTTGGACTGTGATAAGCAGGCGTGCCGTCTCTCTCTCTCTGGGCTCCAACCTTGCTGTGCTGCTTTCTTTGCTCTTTCTCTTTTCCAGCTGCCTCGTTCTCAGGGCTATGTTTTCTTCCCTGCCCACTTTCGAGTTCATTGATGCTCTGCTCGATTTCTTAAATTTCAGTGGTCACATACCATTTCTGACCCCAGTGTAGCACTGACACAGAAGAAGACAGAGTTTGAGAGAGTTTGCCATTTTCTTTTTTAGGAAAACACTCTTTTTTGAATAACAGAGAGGGGAATTGACTCATGGAAAATGGGAGGAAGGTCACCAACAACAAAGCACCATACAAAGACAGTGAATCACTTAAGAATACACAAAGCCAAAGCAAAATGTACTCCATATTTCAGCTGTAAAATGACAACATTAAAACATTAAATGTTACTAAACAAAGGCTGTGAAGAGGTGCATGGCAGTCTGGGAGTCCTCAACGTGGTCCTCTCCACTCTCCCAATCGGCCCGACCTCAAAAGTTCGGTGGCGGCGCCACACTATTATGGGAAAGATCTAGTCATTAGACACTGGAAAGCTCCCATTATAGATCCTGGTTCTCTGTGCCAGGAGGTAGTGTGGTCAGACTTCAGATTTCACCATATTATGAAGGACCTAGACATCAAGTAAAGGACTAAAACCCAAAAACAGTTTAGTGACCACTGTCAAATGTATGAACAAAGCTCTCTAAACTCTCCATACCTGAAATGCCACTTGGAGGTACGGGTCCTTAAACATGTTTTAAAATATTTATTTTTAATATATTGCTTTGGGTGTTTTTATGTGCCAAAACCAGTAATATTTCATTTCATATGACCATTTTCAACCTCTCTTTAAACTTAATGTGCATTTAAGACTGATATATGTAAATTACCTCTGTGCAGACTGGCTGTCCTGTAATTTTTGCCTTGTAGTTCAGAAAGGAGTTGGGGCTGAAACTCTCCTCATAACTTTAGTGTAAATGGGCAGAGCTAAACTACTGTAGGTGAATGCAGTGGCTTCTGTGACATCACAAAAACAACCAAATTTTTAAAAGCTGTTTTTGCAGCTTAGTTTGAATCTATAGACTGAAGAGTGAAAGTTTTTAATTTCAGTTTTTTATGATGTAGGCCCAATAACCCACAATTCCACTGCTTCTAAATAGGCTTTAACCCTTTAAAGTCTTAGGCTTATTACATAGTAGACTTATTATTCAATAACTACTAGGGACTTTAGTGCAAACTGGTCAAGCTGTTCTTAGGTTACAAAAGTGCGTAATAAGACTTGCCTTTTAAGGGGTTAAACAGTTTTGTTCAGGGGTTCTACTAACATCCCCTCGTTGTTCTGTTAAAGACTAGCAGTGCTGTAGACTTTAATCAAACAGTGTTATCAACCAGTTTTAATCCACCAGTCATGTACGAACACTAAAAAAGCAAACTGCATCCTGCTCAACCAGTCTTTGTAGTCAGTGGAAAAGGTGGTTTATCTTGTTGCTGTCAGGGTAACTGTAATCACATGTCTTTGGGTTGTTCTTTTGTCTCTTTAGGGACAGAGCAATGGACAGGCGCAGGTGGTTGAAACTGATAGTTCTCTTCTTGGTGACTTTTGCCATAGTGAAATTTTTCTCCAGGTGAGTCTATAATTAACACAATTTTTCTGAAACAGTGTGATGCTTCATATTTTAGTAGTTTCAGTGATTCACAGAAGTCTGAAAAAAATTCTAATAGGAGTGTCAAGATATGCAGGTTAATGTTACATTTTTTTGATAAAAGGGTTGCTGTGAATCAAAAACAGTTTGATTTCATGTTATAAAATGCATAATAACTGGAAAGGTTCCAATAGTTCTATTTAACACAATCTATGATCTATGATGTAATAACCATCAATGTAAAAAAATAAAAACACAAAACCTCCACTGTCCAACTCTTGAACTGGAAAAATTGGTGTGTTTAGCCTACTTTGAACAAAGTTGAAGTTTGCTTCTTATTTGCCAGGTTTTTTTAAACAATCTGTTCTATCTTAAGAGGTGTAGCAGTTACATTCTGGTGCATCAGGAAAATTTGTATAAGCTGGAGAACAAGAAACTAACTTCAGCTTTGTCCGCCTTGGATGGTTGATTAGCCAAAGACAACATATTAAATGTGGAAAGTGAGAAATGTTATTGTTTTTGAATTTGATGTCAGCAGCACATTTTAAAAAAAGTTGGGACAGGAGCGACAAAACACTGGTAAAGTTGTGTAATGCTAAAAAACAAAAAACACAACTTGTGGAACAACAGGTTAATTGGCAACGGGTCAGTAACTTGGTTGGGTATCAAAGGAGCATCCCAGAGAGGCTGAGTGCTGGCAAATAGTGCAACAATTCAAGAATAAAGTAAAATAGCAACAAACAGACATGATTCTGTAGTGGAAATCATTGCATGGGCTAGAATTGTTGCACTATTTGCCCATGCGATCTTGAGCACCTTTACCCATCTTTACTACTCAGCCTCAATGAGATGCTCTTTTTATACCCAATCGTGTTACTGACCTGTTGCCAATCATCCTAATTAGTTGTGAGATGTTTCACCAGGTGTTTGGGGCTAAGTGCCTAAGTGGGAAATACTGGGTTTAGAAATGGTGAGTCTCTGTTGTTTTTATTCTGATAGGATCTTTAGACGTCAAGTATTTTGAATTGGAAATATCTGGGATGGAGGAAACATTTCCCTATAATATGTTTTCAAACAAAAAAGCAAATGAGTTCAACAACAAATGCAGAGTGTTGAATACATTATTGTAATCATAGAATAAGTCTTGCACACTGAGCTGTTTCAGCTGGTTAAAAAGCTCATATCCTATTGTTTGTATTCTTTTTTTTCCCTGATGTCCAGTTATGAGGGTATATGTAGTCATGTAGCATCTAAGACTGATATATGTAAATGAGCTCTATTGCTTATAACTTGTTATAACTTCAGCACAAATGGACAGGGCTAAACTGCAGCATGCTGAAAAGGTTTTTTGTGACATCCCAAAAGCAGTGAATTCACAACAGGCTGTTTTTGCAGCGTAGTTTCTGTGTGTGAGCTGTATGGACTGGGAAGTGTTTTGAAACTTTAACAGTGCTTACATACAGTGCTTTTTCAATGATATAGGCCCTTTATAGGCTCTTTACGCACCTTGTTGTTATTTAACAACTTCAATACATTATGCTGCAGTGTATGTGGTTCCTGACCAGGTTACAAGGCTGCTTACTGTAAACAGCAGTCTTGTTTTAAAGAAAGACAGTTTGTGAAATGAATAAGGACATGCATTTGTGTTGGAGATGACAGCCATGTTTTGGACAAAACAGGAAAAACGAAAAAACGACAGTTTATTGACTGTCCTGTTCTAAGATGATTTACATACCATATGTCACATAGTTGTTGGTTTTAAATGTATCTGACCAAAGAAACATTTGACTACCTTATGCAAATGTATGTGTTTAAAATCGTGCCTTGTTTCACAGGTTTGGAATAGGTGGCAGGAAGCTAGAAAAACATTACGAAATGTTAGATGTGACCAGACGAATGAAAAGAGCTGTAGATGATTCCATAAGAATTAAGAACGCTGTATAATATTGTAAATGAAGTTACAATATGACTGTAAGAAATGGTTTCCTTTGTCCCTGTCTGATCCCACCTTGACCTATCTCTATCTGGTTGCTCTCCGTCGGAGCTCCGGGAGTGTGTTGGACAGGAGACACATGCACCGGCACATCGATGCTCTTTATACACTTAGAAGCAGACATAAGAACAATATGCGGGTGAGCTGAGGTGTGAAAGAAACAGGAAACCAAGGCTGAGCAAGACGTGGCTGCCAAGAAATGTGATTGCAGTGAATGTAGCATCTTAGAAATTTTTTCTGGTTTCAATCAACTTTATAATAATATATAGTATCGCTGCTGTCGGATCGAAACCTTATATCTCCAAAATGGTAACTTTATAGGAAAAGGAAAAAACCTGCTTTACTTTTAATGGAAGTCAATGGAACCAGACTTTTTTTGTAAGTAATTTTGGGCCGTTTCTTTTGCTCTATTCTTTGGAAATTTACACACAGTGTAAAGGGCAACAGGCATTTTCAAATTATGTCAAAAACTGAAAAATGACAAAAAATGGAGATACAAGGTTTTCTTCCAAAAACACTGATATAATAATGTAATATTAACTTTCAAAGTCATTATTGAATAACTTACAATAGCAACAAACTTTTCAATGGCATGTCTATCAGTAAATTGCAAAATCTCACTCAGGCCATTTAAGGAACTCGGCCAGCACTTAACATGAACTTCTGTTGTTGTCTCTTTTTTCCAATTCTGTTTACAGTTCAAGCAAGGGAAGAGTAAAAATAAACTCAAAAACCGTGGACACGGATACAGACATTTTCTGGTGGAGCGATTATGCTCCTGAGTCTGACAATTTGGATGCACCAAAAGAGCCTCCAAAAGCTGAGAAAAACCTTGTGAAAGAAATCATCACGAAGGAACCAGAACAAAATTCAGAAGAACTTCGCAATTTGGATTCACCAGAAGAACCTCAAGAGGCTATGGAGAAGCCTGTGAAAGAAAACGTCAAGAAGGAACGAGAACCAAATCCAAAAGAAGAAGAGATAGAAATCATAAAAGTCCCAGTGAAACCATCTACAGGGCCTCTCCGTCTAGTACATTTAGACCTTAAGGGTGCTGCCCCCAAAGTCAGTTACCTTAAGCAGGTGAGCAGTCAAAAAGTCTATATTTGTTGTACCTTTATTCAAATGAGTAGTGTGGCTCATTTTGTGGTATCTGGCTATTGCAGATTTTTCCACTGTTCTCCTCTCTGGGCGCTGATGGTATTTTGATAGAGTATGAGGACATGTTTCCCTATGAAGGAGAACTTGAGATTCTAAAGTCACCGTTTGCCTACAGGTAGGCTTGTGTTGTTGCTGAATGTCAAATTCAAAGTTTATACTTTGTCAGTGGTTCTCAGTCCAGTTCCCAGGACCACCCAGATGAGTCACATTTCAGCTCTCAACACAGAGATAGGCTTGAGGACTGGTTTGAGAAGCACTGCTGTGTTACTGTGTTACTGACCTGCATCTGATTAACTATAACAGTGTGGAGGAAATAGAGGAAATCAAGACTATGGCAAACCTCAGTAAGCTTGAACTGATACCTCTAATGCAGGTATTTGGGCATCTAGAGGTAAGTTAAGCAGAAGCTTTTTTTGTTTTAATAATAATGTTAACAGGTTTTATTTATATAGCGCCTTCCTCAAACTCAAAGTTGCTTTACATTTTAGTTTCACAAATTGTCACTGACTGAACAAAATCTGGTATTTCCATTTTTTACCTTATTAAAAAAGCCAGCTTCTCTTTACATTGTGTAAAACATTCATCATAATTAGAGCAATAAAATGCTCCAGAGTTCCTCAAAATAAAATCTTGCTACACTAACATACAAAATCACATATTACAGATTAAATATGGAGTGTAGAACTTAAAACCTGTCTCTGAATATAACTGCTACAGCCTATAGCTTGTTAGTAGTCTGTTGACCAGGTCAGCCTACACTAATGTCATGTTCTGTTCATGCTGTAGTTAAAAAGTGAAACGCTGTTGTGAAATATGATGTCATCAATTTATTAGCTAGTTATCAGTGTTAAGTTTGCTAAGTTTTGCCCCTACCTGGTCAGCATACGCATCCGTGCGTCATTACTACAGCAACCAATGTGGGTATGCCAGCAAATGTGACAACAGTCTGACCATACAAATCAGATTTGGTCACTAGTAACTTGAAATCTAAGCAGTCAATCTGAAAAGTCAGACAAAAGAAACACGTCCAATTTGCCCTGGTGTGTACAAAGACTTTGTTTTGTGGTGTTCTATAAGCATCCTGACAAAACACAATTACAGATGCCTCTGTGCGAGACTAAGTGCATGTGATCCAAATCAAAAACAATTCAGGCCAACTCTGTCATATAGAGGGTTCTTCAGTGTTTTTTTATTGTATTGGAAGGCATATCAAAATTGCAATACTGTTTAACACTTTACTATAGGGAAGTTTTTTTCATAAGGCTACATGACATCTACATTAGTTCATCATGATAACTGACATAGACCTACGTAAACAATTATAAAGCCATATTCCATTAGGTGCCATCTGTTATAAAGACTGCTGGTAAAACTTTCTGTGAATACCATGTCCATAACAGGGGCATAGCCCAAGAAGCATGGCCCCGCCTCTGGCCACCACAATTCTGGAAAGTGAGACAGTCAGCTATTATCAGTTAAGCACTTACCACAGAAAAGTTCAGCTACTTTGTGTGAACAGTTTTACTGCCTTTAGGTCAGCTAGCAATCAGTTATGATCTGACGCTACATTGTTTTTGTTTGTTTTGCTTAAGGAATCAGCCGCCATTGGCTTTCTAACTTTGTAAAACATTTAAAAGCACCTAAATATTATTCTCTTGAATATTACCACACATTTTTTCACCTAGCAGTTTGCCACCCCAATAAAATCACTGGGTCAACCTGGCCACCTCATTCGCGACATGTTATAATGCATCCATAAGGCATTATATTATGTGGCTATAAACAGTTAGAAAAAGTCATTAGATATTATAGCCATGTTTGTATTTAAACTCTTCAAGTATTACAGTACTGTTTGTTTCATTGTTAAGTTTAGGATTGAAACAAAAAGATTAAAACATGTTGAAACATCCAGTGGAAAATTGGCCAAACAGGAATTGTATTTCTCTGTGGTATCTACATAGATATAGCCAAGCAAGCTCTCCTATTGGTTAGGATTTTGAGCTCTGATGAGAAGGTCAAACATGTTAGATCACAGGTTCAAACCTTTTGCAACGCACAGCCCACAGAAATGACCACAAAAGCTTCCATGGCCCAATCAGATCAATCTGACTCTGAGTGATGGTGTAACTTGTTGGGTTTCAAAGCTTAATGTGAAAAGACCTGAATAAACAGCACATAGTGGTACTTACCTGTTTTCGGTTCCCACGCATGCGAAGCCCAGCTCATGCTACTCACTGCTGTATTTTCTCCATTTTGGTTTACGCTGGATTTTTTCAGTATTCTTAGTCTGCGACATGGTGTCCGCTTCGCTTATAGATGGCCCAGCATCAGGATCTTTCACTTTGAAAGACCTTAATTTTAATCATTTGTCCATGATGGTTCCATATGACTGAAATGTTTTATGTTGACTTGATCCAAGCTCAATATAACTATGATGCTTTATTTTTGCAAATAAAAAATAGTATTTGTCACATTTAAAATTACATTTGTTTTTAAATTTCTGCTGTTGAAAAACTGATGGATAATTGTCCCCTAGAAATACCATAACGGCCCACTGGGGTTCCGCAGCTCAGAGGTTGAAAACCATTGTATTAGTTTAACCATCAGCATAATTATGAAGAGACTATGTCAAATATCAACCTATCACATTTTGATTTTGAAAAGGCAGGACTAATTTCATTGAAAAAATGTCATTCTAAGCCTTCTAGAAGTCATGGATACATCACTGAGCAGCAGCCTAATCAGTGGGTTGTTAGTACAAGAGTCACTGTGAAACTGCTACAAGTTAAACTATATGCTAATATGTCTGTCACACTCTTCAAATAAAACATGGAATGTCTGTGTTTACTCTTCACGCCTTTTTCAAAATTTTTGTTCCGTCTTAAACGGTACAGTTACATTTTGGCGCAAAGCTACGTTCACATTACAAGCCCTCATTGGTCGATTCAGATTTTTTGCTCAGATACGATATGTTTAACATGATGGTTCACAGTTGTGCAGTATGTGACCCAAATTTGTCATTAATGTAAGCGCAACCGGTAATGACCTCCATGCGCACATCCTAATCAGTAACATTATGTGAATGAACCATGAATTTGTGTGTCATGAATAACAAACAAACTATCCAGCTAAATAAGTTTTCATCATTAAGGTGTAATTTGCTCTGAACACAAATCTGATCTTTTTACATACAACCCGAGGCAGTGGCTCAAATCTGATTTGAAAAGATCAGATTTGCCTGTCCACACAGCATATTAAGGCAAAAAAATCAGATTTGTCCAATTTCAGCCTGGTAATGTGGCACCAGAATGTAACTGCTGCACCAATTAAGGCAAAACAGGAAACTGGAATAAGAAGTTAAGTTTAACCAACCTTACTTTGCTGTGTCATAGTATCAGCATGTGACATACACTGAGCTACAACATCTGTCATTTCACCCCAGAAAATGTCATGACAACTAATATCCGAAAAAAGCAATATCACTTGACGTAGGTGTTATCTCAACTTGACACCAAAGTTGGCAAATGCGTACTTTGTGTCAAAGGACACCTATAGGAATGAGTATATATAAATGTTTATGTGGGTCTTTGTCGGCTATCATAGCATTATGCTCTATAGTAAAGTGTCACTCACTACTATATGTAGCAACAATTGTATGTCCATATTGTACAGGCCTACTTTGTCATTCAGGTCACTTGAATATTCTTCTACACATTTGGTCCAGTCTTCACAAGGAGTTAAAAAGAGACTGTGCTGAAAAGCTACAACAACACCTACAGTTTTTTATAGCATGTATCTAACTGCCTGAATCTTTTTCTGCTAGTTTGTTCTGAAACATGAGAAGTATGCCCATTTAAGGGAGGTGGCGAAGTATCCCAATAGCCTGAACGCTCTAGCCCCTGATAGCCTGCCACTGCTTAAACAAATGCTAAAGCAGATCCTGAAGAGACACCCGGAGGCACGGTTTTTCCACATTGGAGCTGATGAGGTTTGTGAAGCCTAACTTATACTTTTTTATTCTATGTAAGATCACAACATATGAGTAATTTGCAACAGTATAGAATCTAAATACTGTATTTTCACACTAAAGCATTTCCTTCTGGGATGGGGCTGCACAACATAGCTTTGCTTTGGTCTTGGAGTAGTTTATACTGCAAAAGTATTTTTTGGTTAAGTTTTTAGAGATGACTTACCAGACATAGACTTAGCTTAGTTTTGGACTAAATCGCAGTGAAACACCACTGGTAATTATTTTTAGTCTTAATCTTCAGGCTAGGTCTGTCTGATAAGTCTGTCTTCTCTGAATTGTAATATTTTATGTTATATTTAAATAGTTTCTAGTGTACAAACCTCTGAGGAACAGTGAATTTTCTTTACTCTGTAACTTTAGCAAACATCACATGGAAGCCAGTTTATGTAATGCCCTCTGTAGAGGACATTAAGGTGTGTTTCACTCCTACAGACAACAGGACACTAGCTCACTATTCTATATAATTCAATAGATGCAAAGCAGACACTCCTGTTTTTAGACATGCATCTCAATGAGACCTTGTTGCCCAGGCCTACAGCGTGCAGTACTGAAAAAGGTAAAAAGTAACTGTAAGGCATTAGCAAAGAATTTAAAATCTAAAACACAGTATATGTTCATGGGCATACTGTAACAAATACACTGAACAATAAATTGATGAGACAAAATGACTCTTTGGCAGAAACATGCAATGCTATGTTTGGAGGAAAAAAAGCACTGCACATCAACATGGAAACCTCATTAACTGTGAAGCATGATGGAGGGAGCATCGTGGTTTGAATGTGCTTTACTGCGTCGGGGCCTACAGAGCTTGCTATCAGAGACAAAACTTCAAATTTAAAATTGTGTAGAGAAGTTTAACTAAATGTAACAAGACAGTGACCTAAAACAAACATAGATCAACAACAGAATGGTCATTCCAAGCACAAATGTTCTTCTGTTTAATGCTCTGCAAACTACAACAGGACTACATTTGTTTGGAGAACATTTGTGTTCTAGAATGGCCACATCCAGACCTCAGACCAATTGCGATGATCCGAAATGACTTTTTTTTTACAAAATTAAACAGCTTTGTAAGAAAACATGGTCTAAGAATTTCTCAAACCATTGTGTAAATCTAACCAGCAGCTACAGTTTGGAGTTTATTGCTGCTAAAAGAAGGATCTACCAGTTAAAAAAACAAGGGCTCAAATACTTTTTCCCATCCTGGATTGTGAAGGTTTAAATTATATGTTCTGTGTTGAGAATAAGAAGTGCATTAGTGTGCATGTTCTTAGTTTATGTAGATTGCCTTCTTTGACACTTTTAAGATCAGACCTTGTTTTTATGAGTAATTAAAGCAGAAATTCAAGCGATTCATGTAGCTTCTTTTATATGTACTTCATTCAGTTCTACTTGCTTTGATTATAGCCCAGCAATTTATGAGGAATGAGACATTGTTTGCACCAAACATTCAGGTTTATGAGCTTGGCGAGAGTGAGGACTCGAAACATTGGTTGGAGAAGAATAATGGAGACGTGGGAGCACTGTACCTCAGCCATCTGTCAAAAGTTTGCCATCTAGTGACCGAGATGAGACCTGGAATGAAAATGATCTTCTGGGACGATATGATCAGAAAGATCAGCGTCCCCGCCATGCAAAGTATGTCTGGGGAAGGCTGCAGATGAAATAGCTTCGCTACCAGATTAAAGTGATAATTTACCTATAAATCAAACGTACACAGTTTCCCCCTTACCCCAAATGTGGGATCTAGGGGTGGGTGATATGGAAAAAAAGAGAATTTTTCACGATACATGATACATATTACAATATTTTAAAACTGTTATCAAAAACTATGACTACAATGATTTTTATTCTGAATTTCACATACTGCACTTTACAAAATCCAATAAATCACTGCAAATTATGCTTTCTCTGTAATAAAACTTGCAGTTGGTGAATATAGACGACATCACAATATGCTCAAAAATGCATATTATGTATCAAAACAAAAATTATAACACTAACGATAAAATATCATATCACCCACTCCTAAGTTGATCAGTCAAAACATTTGGCATGTGAAGTTTACTTTTTTATATTTGCACTAGATAGATAGATAGATAGATAGATAGATAGATAGATAGATAGACAGACAGACAGACAGACAGACAGAGACTTTATTGATCCCAAAGGAATTTTAGCACTAGAGCAGGGATGCCCAAACTTTTTGTCTTGGTGGGCCAAAATGCGATAATTGAGGTGGTCTGAGGGCCAAAAACACAAAAGAATATTCAAATGAAGAATCACATCAAGTGTCAAATCAAGATAAAAATATATTTTATAATGTTACACTGTATTTAGTTACTAAAATACTTTTAAAAATACAAAAAAACCCCCAAAATAAACATGATAAACATAGTATAAAATATGTTCTCTTTTAGGTGAGGTTAGGGTAACATTCTGGTAGGCCACAGGTTGGGAGGCCCCGCACTAGCACTACAGTGCTAACATAGCTAACAAGCAACTGGATAATTGTAGCCCCCAATTTTGCATTGTACAAACTATGCCTAAATCATCACACATGTGCCTTAAACCAGGCTGAATTGACAGCCAGTATTTTCTGACGCAGTATGACGTGCTGTGATCCATGAAAAATGTAAACAAGAATCAGGCTCAAAGATGGCGGCTACTACCATTAGATAAAAGCATGTCATACAGTGTCAGAAACCATATAAGAAAGTCTGTTTGAGATTATTTAAGAACTCTGCATGTTTTGAGGTGAGTATGAAATGAATTAGACCATTGGCACAGTAGTAACTAGTGTGGTAGAAGGTTCCATTACTTCGAGCTAAATTAGCTTTGTAGCTCTAGTGCAAAACTATTGAAGAAAAGACACCAAACAGGTCTGGCTGATCATATTTGGGTAAGGAGAAATTGCATAAATTAGATTCTTGGTGAACTATTAGGCCTACTTTGACCTAATGTTTTGCAGCTGCTCAAAACTGTAATTATGTGATATAGATGCTCTGGTTACTGAATTGTGGAACACTTGTAATTTGAGTAAAACAAATGCCCTTTTGTTCTATTGTTTTCCTTTGCCATTATCCCTCATTGGTTGTAATGTAATTATTATAATAACTGCCATAATTTTTGTATTTTCTAGACTCAGATGTAACAAAACTTGCATTCCCTATGATATGGAACTACGGTCCACAGATTGATATAAAAAGCCTAGGTAAGACTTTTATGGGTGCGTTCAGCTCTGTTTTCACTCAGTTACATAGACCTAATCTCCAGCCATCAGCATTTTATAAAAGCATTTGGCCATTTTTGAAAAATGCTATCAGATGATTGACAAAAAAAAACATTTTGTTAATTTGCAGCACAGCTACTGGATAAATACCAGGAGGCCGGATTTTCAGGTGTTTGGTTTGCGAGCTCATTTAAAGGCACTTCAGCGGTTGACCAGATATGGACTCCAATAAAACATCACTTAGACAATCATCTATTCTGGCTTAAAGTAATGGACTCCATGGCCCAGTACCCTTCTCTAACTTATCAAGGCATCGCCATAACAGGCTGGCAAAGGTTTGCATACAATTTGTCCTTATATTTGTGAGTGATGTTATTTGCTGTGATACAGATTTTCTTAGTTTCTTTAGTACTTCTTTGTTTGCATGTATATAATGCATAGTCTACACTTACATGGGAATCCCATCTTTTTAAAAGTCATTCAGAATGGTTTGATTTGAAATACTCCTTTCTAGAGAAACTTCCAGACCTAGAACTGTTCATAGCAGTAGTGAGAGGAATCAGACATCTGAAGAGTTTAATGCCTCTAAACGCTACATCACAGGTTTTATGTGAAATTTCTATGACTATGCTGCCTAATGTCTCAGACATTATTTTACGATAGTTTTAAGATGAGGTTTTAGCCCAAAATGTATTTTTTTTCAAATCCATTCATGGCTAAGCAAAACATGCAAGGTGTTGTGAAGCAAAATAGTCTCCAAAGAAAACATATATTTCATTTTTACCACTATTTTACCATTATCAACATTGCATATGAAAAAACTCAGGAAACGTGTAGGTTCACTGGTCATTTTGGATAATAAATAATGGCTATATTTACGAAAAGTGCAGCCCTGGTTCCTATCACCACCACACCAGGAATGAGGGGGAAAGTTCCTCTAAAATGAACCTTTTCATGTCAGACCACTCTGAGTGAGTTATGCAGAAATGTCAAAAGAATTGTGGAATTGCCCTTTAAAGTATAAGAATAAAAATCTTAAAGGGGAATTCCACTGATTTTTCAAAATGTCTGCATAATTGAGTGGTTGAAATATAAACAAAGTCCATCAGAGCGTTTTGATGTGAGATGACTCATTGTAGAGGAACTTTCCCCCTCAGATTTCTTTACAGTGGTAATGATAAAAACAAGGGGTTCTGATGTCTACAACACAAATCTAGCCATTTTAATTACTATCTGAAACCACCAGTGAACCTACACGAGTTTTTTTTTATATATTTTTATACATATAACATGACCTGTCCAGGGTGTTTCCTGCCTTCTGCCCAATGACTGCTGGGATAGGCCCCAGCTTCCTCCGCGTCCCAAAAGGATAAGCACCTTAGAAAATGTGTGTGTGTGTATATTTATAATGTTAATAAATTTGTGGTAAATTTAGTAATTTAGTAATTTTGCCTTAGAACAGCCTTCATGTATCCCTCCAGATTAAAATAAATTGATTACAATATGTTTTAGGCCAAAACTGTATCATAAAACTACTGCAGAGCAATTCATAATATTTCATGCAATAACTTTCTGTAAGGGAAACATCTAGTTCCTATCATCACCACTGTGAACAGTTCTGACTTGGCAAGTTTCTCTAGAAAGGAGCATTTTATACTAACCGCTCTGAATGACTTTGTTTACATATTAACCATTTAATTATGCAGGAATTTTGAAAAATCAGTGGAGTTCCCCTTTAATTTGCTATAGATCTCTACGGAATTATTAGCAGGTCCAGATGTAAATTCCTTATTCATAACTACATAATTCACTGATTAATTAAATTCACATATTAATTAAATTCACTTTCTGGTTCAGTGGACTGATGCCATAAAAGAACCACTTTTGTTTACCTTTTGTTTAAAAGATGGTGCTTTAAGGGTTTTTTAGTAAAGAAAATGGTTCTATATAGAACCATGAACACTCAAAGAACACTTTGCATGATTAAAGGGTTCTTTGCATCATGAAAGGATTCCTCAGATTGATGGAGAATGTGCTGAAGCTGGTTCTATGTATAGAGTGCTAAACAATAGCAAAACTGCTGTAAAATGTTTCTTTATAGAACCATATACAGCACATTTCCATTAATCTGAAGACCCCTTTCTTGATGCAAAGAATCCTTTAATTATGCAAAGGGTTCTTTGAGTGTTCATGGTCCTATATAGAACCATTTTCTTTGCTAAAAAACCCTTAAAGCACCATCTTTTTTAAGTTTGTAGGCTAGCGATGTTCACTAAAGAGCTTACTACGCAAAGTAAATGAGGTGTCAAAAGTTTTTAAAGTTTAAAGAACTTTCACATAATGTAAAAAAGAGCAAGGACCATTTAGAAAACTTTATAAGAATTAATATTAATAACTGAATAACAAACGTCAAGCCAAAGAGGTTAATCATGAGCCTAATGATGGGTGGTGTTCTTTTTAGATATGAGCACTTTATACGTCTATGTGAACTGCTGCCTGTGGCCATCCCTTCTCTGGCTGTCTGTTTACAGACTCTGAAATATGGTGAGTACTAGAAGCACAGAAAATTCATCTCAATGGATATAAGTGAGACTTAGTAAGCAGGAAACAAAGTGAAGGAATCGTAGTGCACCATAAACATCAAGTTTTTTGTTTGAGTCAGGTTCATTTACGGAAGAGGCCGAAAAGGCAGTACATCACATTTTGGGCTGCAAAATTCAGTTGGAGCCTAATATTTGGTGAGCAGTTTTGTATTTTTATTGTACTTTTACATGGCATATTGTATTTATGCCATGTAAAAGTGGTGAATGTGTTATATATGTATATATGTCAAGTTATATAAGGGTGTATACTATATATGTAATTATATTGACGATGCCTGTCTGTTACGTGTCCCTTCTCTACATGAACTCCAGTGAAGGCAGTGGGTCATTTGCGGGCGCTGAGGTTTACCACATGGTGCTAAAGATCCACACTGAACTGCAGAGCTCTATTGATGCGATGATGAAAAACCAGTGAGTGCTTGTAAAATGCATTGTTCACATCCATAATCAGTTACTGCTTTTTTCTTATTTTGTTTAATGGACAGACTGCCATTATGCCGCTATGTTCCTAAAACGTCTCTTGTTTGCCTGCATGCTTGATGTCCTGCAGCTTTCTGCGAGGTTCTCTCAGCAATTACCTGCGGAAGTACAACTTCGCAAACCCACGGAATTTAAGACATTTTAAAACCGAATTGAGAAAGTAGGTTTCTTTACACTAACATACTTTTATTCTTGTGCAAAATGTTTCAATTACGCATTTAGAAATCACTTTGCAGCCAATTTAAGAGACACCGCTTCTATAAAGAGAACTTTAACAAGACTCTGTTTATAATTAATACTGATTTTAGTTTATAAGACAGGTCTTCTATATACACGTTACACTGAGCCCTGTACATAAAGCATTGCATGGTGCACACTTTCACATAAACTCAGTTTCACATGAACTAAATCATTCGTATTCGTAAGTGGGCAGTTAAAAGCACATTCACTTTAAAAATACTTTTGGAAGTTGTTTCTGAAAGTCTACTTTTTCTCCTTAACCCATCCTCTAAATCGGCAAATTGGATTATATAATAAGAGGTACAGGTTTAGTGCAGTACAAAAGGAAGTAGCTAATCATTAAAAAAAAGTGCCTTTTGTGATCTGTAAGAGAAAACTATAAGCTCTTGGAAATGCTACCCAACAATATAATTAGGTAACCACAATATAACAGTACTAAGTGCATTAATACAGAATTAAATGGATGTGTGCAGTCATGTGTGCATTTTTAGAGTATTTCACAACAGCTTTGAACGTGAATTGGCTTACCAGAATTTAGAAAATTTGGAAACACACATGTCCATTTTATATATGTTCTTGGACTTCTGCAGGCACAATTCACTTGTTTGATAAACTACGGGTTTGTCTTTCTACTGGTAGACTGAAGGATGATTGGGAGTCCTTTCTGGAGAGGTTTCGGAAGGAGATGGAGGTCATCTTCTATCCAGACACTGTGGAGGAGTGGATGGAGGATAATGTCAACGAACAGATGAGTAAACTCCGCAGCATGGTGCAAGACACAGAGCGCATTTATGACCTTGATGGCCGGAAAAAGAGTCTTAAAGCTTAATACGGCTTTGACTAGAAGGAACGTGTTCACCTACAGTGTCTAATCGTCAACTGATTTTGGGGCGACAGATCGCTTGTCCCTTAGCCATGCCCAGCCAGTGAACTGTGAAATCTTCCCCATCATGACAGAATGCACCGTACCAGGTACGGCATCGTTTGATTTTTAAAAGCAGGGTTGACCATATTTCTGTAAATTGGAACACGTTTTAGTGTTTTGCAGCTAACTAAGCTAGCAGTGTTCACCAAAGGGCTAGCTAAGCTAGCTAACTGATTTTTAATAGCTAACTGCATTATTGTGAAGATCAGCTTGGACCAGCAGCATTCTGTAAACCGCCATGTTCAAACACAGAAATCTGGTTTTAGTCGCTGACACAAAAGGCAATTTAGGAAAGCTTGAAAAGTCCGGACAATCATAACAAGCCTACTTCATCAAATATAATCCACTTTGTCTATCTGTCTTTATGTCTCTATCATTAATACATCAATTTGAAGTGGCTACAGTTGGCATGCTAAAAACATCTCATAGCAGTGAAAGAAACTTGAGCTGGCAACAATGGTGGCACTTCGCTCTCTTTTTTGTCTTTACTGCCACTCTGGACTAACATATGCCGGTGAACCGTAATGTCCTTCCACAACTGGTCACCACAAGCCACTTTTCTATTTTGTTTATTACACTGCTAGCATAGTTAGCCTTTTGCCCGACATTGCTAGCCTAGTTAGCGCTAGTAGCTACTAAACTGAAAGATGTTATAGCTTTGTCTAGCAAATAAATATAAGGAACACACTCCAGTTTGCCAAATAGATGGTTTAGCTCTGACTCAAACGTGTATTTCATTAATAATTTAAATGAAACATGAGAAAAACTGCTTTAAAAATCAGCACAAGTGGAGTACAATGCTGTGCTCTACCATGTTGGGGGGTTTTCACTCCAAAATCAGTTGACAATTAGAAATACAGAGGAATTATCTCAGAGATAAGCTATCAAGTAATGTCGTTAACATCTGCTGGCACGGGACATTACATATGAAGACATAAAAAGTTCAGTGTGAGTGCACAACAAGTTAACAGTTCCAGGAAACAGGTTAGGAATTCATGCAGGAGTTGTCTGACAAGGATGCAATGGTATAATTCAATCTCAAGAACTTTAGTCTGAGCACAGTTTTCTCTGGTCTCCAAGAATTTACTGTGCTACTGATACTAATACGTTCAACTACAGGCATATTATTCAAATGTTAATGTCAAGGCTTAGTGTTCAGTTGGTATTCTGGTACGACTGTGAAAATAATATGTAGGTTATGTTATATGAGTGAGGAATTGATGTGTGGATCTGCCCTAAGAACTTAGAGTTTATGGAGGGTTCCAACTCCCCTGCATGCTAGAATAGGTAAAGGACTTGGGAAGGTTGATAAAATAAGAGTATTCTTTGCCTAAAACTACTTGTCAAACATTACAGAAAATGGCCAGCACACAGAAAAGGAATATAAGCAAGTTAGATTTTCTTGTTACTATGTTTTGGTGCACATTGATTTTTTTAATAGAGCGTTTGAAGTCTAGGTGAATGGTTGGGTTTATTTGATGTGGTCTAGGTGATGATTTAAAGACAAAGTAAAAAAGTACCTTTGGTAGCCAAGGATGCAGTCGTGGGCATTTTGTGTTTTTTTTGTTTTTTTTTCAGTGTTCTTGTTTATTATTTTTGTTTGTTATAGTATAAGTATAAAACTCTGTTAAACTGCACTATTTAAAGAAAATTCCCATACTAGGTACCATTTAGCATGTATTACAATACTTGGAGAATAAGCTGAATTAAATATTTGGGGAATGTCTGGTTATTTATATTTGGGAGCTTGTGAGGATTTCACCATCATATTGTATTTAATTTTTACTCTTATGTTGTACTTTTTGTTTTGCTTGTTGTTTCCTGACCAACAGTGAAAAGAATTTCTGTAATTTCTACAATAAAATTGAAGTTCAATCCAGTGTGATATTTTAAATATGTTTTACAGCTCCATCCAGTGTTGAATTCTGGGAAAACATTTACAGTACAGGCAGATTATACCGTATCAAAGACTTTAACATATGGCTACTGTAACATTATTGAACAAGATGGTAATAATACATCAAACCCTTCAGTATCTTTAGCTTTACTGCAACAAAAGATCGTCATCTCCACTGCAATTTCATTTTGCTTCTCATTTTTCCATTATTTAAATGTTACAAGTATTGAACTGAGCTTCACTGATGTCTGTGAAAGAGGGTAAATGCAAGTCTATATTTATACTTAACTAGTGGTAAAGTTAGTTCATGTAAGACTCATTTGTATATGTCAGTTTTCTGTGAATAAGTAACTACCATATCTGTGTCAGTGTAGTACTGAGAATGACTGACCATACAAATAATACCTGCTCAGTAGTGGCCCTGTGGAGGTCCTGACCATTGATGAACAGGGTAAAGGGTTAACAGATAATGGGGATTTTACAACCTGTGTTGTCATTATCTTAAAATTTGTTAAAATTTATTGGACCATCTGAAACATTTAAATATGACAAATTGTCAAAAATAGAAAAAACCTTTTCACAGCACAGTATGATTTTGTGACCCAAACAGGTAGTCTAGGTTAATGATAGATGCTTGTGGATGTAACCATGAGAGCATCAACTTATTTGAGACATAACAATAGCAATTTTCTTTAATGTTCTGCAGAATTAAATGGTTTAGATGTAAACAAAGTCATTCAGAATGATTTGATGTGAAATGTGTTATTCAAGAGAAACCTACTGAGACACAATTGTCTGTAGTGGTGATAATAGGAACCAGACATCTTTAGCTTTATATGCCTCTAAAAGATCCCTCACAGAAAGTTATCATACAAAACAGTAATGAATATGTTGCCTGATGCATTGTTTTATAGTTCCGAAATAAGGTTCTGGCCTCAAATATTTATAACTTGCGATGAGTCTTTTATATCACTGTGGAGGAATTTTCGCCCAATCTTCTTTGCAGAATTGTTTTAATTCGGATACACTGGAGTGTTTCTGAGTATGAACTGCCTTTTTAAATTCTTGCCACAGCATCTCAATGGGATTCAAGTCAGGACTTTGACTCGGTCGCTCCAAAACCTTCATTTTGTTTCTTTTGAGAGGTGGACTTGCTTGTGTTCTTTGGATTGGTCGTGCTGCATAACCCAACTGCACTTGATCTTCGTATGCTGTGTACATTGACCTTAAATGAGGCAAGTGAAGCCTGCGGTTCTTTAGATATAGTTATGGATTCTTTTGTGTTCTCCTGTACGAGTCGTTGATGCACTCTTAGTGAAATTTTGGTAGGCCAGCCACTCCTGGGAAGGTTCACCACTGTTCTCTCCATGTGTATAACGGCTGTCACTGTGGTTCGGTGGAGTCCCAGAGCCTTAGCAATGGCTTTGTAATCCTTTCCAGACTGCTAGATTTGGCTTTATTTTGCATATGTATTTGAATCTTTTTAGAACATGGCATCATGTGCTGTTTTTTGAGACCTTCTAGCCTGCTTCACATTGCCAGACAGGTTCTATTTTCAGTGATGTTTAAATTCAACATGTCTGGCAAAATTGAACTCAATAGTCAATAGAATTTGGTTAACTGCTTGATGTTGTAGCTGAGGGGGCAATTACTTTTTCACACAGCTAGGGCTAAATAAATGAAATCATTGTTTTGTGTTTAATTGGGTTAGCTTTGTCTAATATTAAAAGTATTTTGATGACATTAAACATTCCAGAGTGACAAATATGCAAAAATAGAAGAAATTGGGAAGGGGGCAAATACTTTTTCAGAGCACTATATGTCATATTTAGCTCTCTGACACACACCTGGCCAAAAAGTATTTAAAAAATGCATATTTTCAAGTAATGTTTGAATTGAATCATTTTTATCATTTAACATTTAAGGCTGTGAAGGATCTGTTAAATAAAGGTTATCATGGATGAGAAGCACCGCGACCCTATCTGGACTAAGCAGTTAGTGATGATGATGATGATTAATGAGAAGCATTATGACCAAGAGGGAGGTAAACAGACTGTGTAGTGTTGATAGCAGCTAACTGCGGAGGGATTTTGTTAAGAAACTGGATCTTTCTGTGAGTCAATCGCGTACAATTCTGTTCGTATCAATATGAGGTGCCCAATATTGAATTTAGGTGGCCAAGTCACCATGGCCCCCTGCACCAGATCTCCTTCACCAGTACCGTCCCTCTTTACTGACTATATTCTCAAATACTACTGTTGAATTTAGTTTTTCATAGCAAAACTGGACACTTTTTATTGTATTCAAAACTGTTAATAGGTTTTGACTAGATTGAAATGTATTCCCTATTGCCACTGTCCAAAGAAAACCATGTATCTCCATTTTGTTGATTTTTATTTTTCTACTTCATGTGAACATGGAAGCTGTCCTTTACATTGAATAAAAAAACATATGATGAATGGGGAAATAGAAATGCTCCAAAATCTCTTGGAATAAAATCTCTGTACATTAACTTCATTAAAAATGAAGACAGAGGCACTACATGCATTTGTAAAATAAATATAAAATTGTTGTTTTGACCTCAATTTGTAAAAAAAAATCTACCCCCATCATTTGAAAAAAGCTATTACAAAAAAACAAAAACAAACAAACAAAAAAAAACAGTTTTACCTGTTGTCCTTAAAGGAAGCAAACTGTTCTGTTTTGGTAGAATGACCCAGCTGTCTGTATACATAGGGATGAATATATGTAGTAAAACTCGTTATCAGTCCTTGTAAATGCAGGGCTTTTAATGATTTTGTAAGATATTAATTTTTAGCCTATATTTCTAGAATAAGAGTGTAGCTCGTGTCAGAGCCTGCAGCGCCACACAGGGTCCTCTCGGTCCTCCGCCCTTTTGTTGTTATGACGACGAGGTCGTAAATCCGCCATGTTTTCCCCTGTTGTAGCGTTGCGACAGGGACGGAGAGCTCGAACGACATGAGTGAAGAAAATAATAATACGGCAGAAACAGTGAGCGAGCAGCCGGAGCGCGGCGGGATCATCACCATCCAGACTGCACTGGGCGACGAAGGTAAACACAGCGACAAGGGTCTGAATCAAACACCGCGGCTTCAATTCTGTTCGACCTGCGCTGTCTGGTCGTCATTGGGCTACGGACGTTAGCAACACTTGACTAGTGTGGTTCTCGTTCGCTAACTGGCTAACGCTAGCTAGCAAACTTTCCGCGCTGTGTTAGCTGATGTTGGTGATGATAAGCGCTTCACGCTTTGGTTTCAATGGCCAAATATTTACTTCATCGCGGGGAAATGGCTCGTCATGGACTCGGGAACTATAGTGTCGTGGCGTCTGTATGTCTTTGCTTATTTAGTGTAAGTTAGCTGTAGTTAGCTAACCTATTTGTCCTGAAGTATTATTTCCCACCTTGTCATCTGCGTTGCTACGGAGACAGTGATGTCTAACGTGGCGAAGAAACGTATTTATTTAACTAATAAACAATTGATACGTTAAAATCGTTAGCGAAATATCTGCTAAGTCTAACAGTTGCTCACTGAAATGTCTGCTTATGCTGCCCTTTGTGTCCTGGGCCGAGTGTTTTCCAAGACTAATGTTCCCTCTTTGCAGATTTGAGAAAAAGCCCCTGTGTTCCCAGGGCCCTAGCTATGTCTCAAATGAGACCCTACTAGGTTACCTATATGATGTGCTGTGTAAGTTATGAAATTGTGTTTTCTGCACCCAAATAGTTTGTCCAGTGTGGAATTGAGCACCCGTGGCTGTTTGGGCGCAATAGCCAATATTTTAATTCTGTGTCCACTCGTGCACTATGTAGGGAGTAGGGAGCCATTTGAAATTCAGTTCGTTTTAGCTCCGTGTTACCTTAATCATGTTTCCTTCACATGGAAACTAGACTAATGTTAGACGTATTTTACAAACATGCATATTCTGTGAGTCTTTGGAGTAGTGAGGGATTGAGGGATTAAGTCAACATGTCAAGCTGTTGCCTTGGATCTGCTTTGTTGATACTGTACTTTATGTACTAAACAGTTTTACATGGCTGGTGATGTAAGTTTGTTATTTTACTGTGTAAGCTTGCAGGTTAGCAAAATATGCAAGGGCCAAGCTTAAACCAGACAAAGCAAATATTCACAAAATACATGCTCTGACTGTGTTTTCTGTTTGACCTCGGGTGACCCGAAGGACCCAAAGCATGACCACAGGAACTCTTTTAGAGGTTTCTGTAGTGTATCATATTGAGGCATGATTCATCATATAAAGAGCTGAGGGAACATAGGGTCGTGGGAACATAGAGCCCTGCAAATGTAGGTATGCCCCTATTTCTGCGGTTCTAAGAAAATGTTTACACTCGCATTCGCAGTAATGAGAAGACACAAAGAAGCTAACATGGCTATATTTTTTTCAGCTAGTTAGTAATTCCAACTTGTCCGTAGTACATAGCCAGTTGTAAAGCTTTTACACAAAGTGTGAACATTTCTGTTACCTTTTTAATAAAAAAGGCCAATATAATCTGCTACTGGAATGTAAAATTAGACAGCTCTGTTAGCAGAACTCTATGTTCCTGGCCACTGACAGTTCTGTCTGTAACCTCATTTTAGCTGTTTTACAGGTTAAAATAATCAGATATGGATATATCGTTTTAAGTCAGTGATGTGACAAGGCTTGTTAAGGTTGTATTATTTGTTCCAATGCTGTGAACTGATTCCTCTCTCTCCGTAGATGAAGATATTCACAAATGTGGCCGATGTGGAGAAGAGTTTTCCACTTTGGATACCTTCATTCAGCATAAGCTTAGTCGGAGCTGTCAACGTCCTGTACCGGATTCACAGGTATGTTTCACTTGTGGTCTATGTTATGTATTAAAGAGTTGTGCAAAAAAGCACTGTGTACTGTATTGTCTCTTTTTGCTGTAGATCAAACTTTAACATTTTGGCTTCTAAAAATGCAGATCCTGTAGATCAAGTGGCCATTTGCTTTGGAGATTTTACTGTGTTCTTTTTCTATTTTAACAAATGTGTTTGGTTTGACATGGAACTAATGGCTACATATCAGATTTTGTCAGCATTCATTAACTGTAACCATCATGATAGCTGATGAGACGATGTGGTGACTATGGTGTCCTCCCTGCTGAGCCAGAAAGTCTGTTGAAATAGGTGCTGTTCCACTTGCTGAAATTTTCTTATGTCACTATTTTTTTAAGACCTTATTTCATAAAGCGTTAACTGAGCCAGTGTTACACTAAAAGGCTATTTCTGCAGTAGCTAAACACATTACCCAGATCAGCACAGTGGCTTGAACGGAAATGAATTCAGTTTTGCAGGGGAAATGTATTGATTTACCAGATCCTACTTAAATGATAGTGATGTTGTATAGTTGGTGTTCTGTCTTGTAATGTTTAAGAAATTGTGTTAAAAGTTTTTGAGGAAAAAATACTAGTAACCCAGCAGACATAAACTTTAGTGAATAAGACTTCAGCTTAAGTTTATAAATTCCTCCAGAAGACATCAGCTTGGCCTTTTAAAGAAGCATCAGATAATAAATTCTGCTAAAACCTTAATCTGACTTGGTTACAAACCACATAGTAAAATATACTGTCACGCCAGCTATCTGTGCAAATTGTAATCTAGCAAAATATGAGGAACAAAGAGACTTGGATTTGATAATGTACATAATTGGTATGGACGTTACTTGTCAATTTGTCGGTTTGTTCACAGGAAAAATCGATTCTTAGATGCATGGACGTGGACGATTCTGAATCAATTCACAAATGTCAAAAATAGATTTTCTAAATATTTAATTTTTAAAGTAATGTTGACGGAACGCAAAAGGCGGAACTTGTAAGTGCGGAAGTGCAGCGCCCGGACAGTCTGTGGCGGCACATAACAAAAACACAAAAGGATGAGTGAGAAATCCGACCGGCTCCCTCTGCATTAAAAGCTAGGTTAGGTCAGGAGTCGACAACCCAAATGTTAAGAAGTGCCATTTTGTCCTTTCAACAAAAATCAAACCACCTCAGTATGCCATAATGTCGTAGTATACGTTAAAAAATATAAACGAAAACACAGACTTAATTTTGCTCTGCTTTAAGCTTTAGCTGTAGCCACTTTCCTCCCATCTCTGCCAGAAAACTTTTCTTCAAAAGTAGAGCAGCTTATTGTAAAATGTCTCTCGACATTCGACTGTTTTACGAGGCTGAAGTTGCTTTTTATTCTCCAGCTTCTTGTTTGAATTTTCCTGTTACATCTTAAATTCTGACTGAGGCACCAGAATGTAAATGCGGCACCATTTAAGGTGGACCGGGAAAATTCGAAAGAGAAGCTGACTTCATTTTCGCAACTTTTTAGTGTTTGACAGTCTCTTGTTGCAGATTTAACATACAAGGAAACCGACTGCTGTGCTTATAAATGCAAATTAATCCATTTGTCTCCAAATGTTCGTCTTAAATCCCTCTCTTTGCCTTTTTGTTAGCAACTAGCCAATTGAGACTGCATTGCTAGTTGACCTGCATTCTGCACGCCAGGGGAAAAGGGACCTGGATAAGAGCCATACTATGTGCAAGTTGTTTTACACTAAACTAAAATATTTTGGAAACGACAAACATGAGAAACCATATTACATGTTTCCACCCATTTTCCTACCGGTTGGACTTGCTGCCAACCAGAGGACCATCGAGCAAGCAATGTCAAAGCTTCCACCCAATTTGGAAGCGAATTACAAATTCTATCACAACTTTTATTGCCAAGGATTTGCGTCCGTTCTCAGTCATTGAGAACCAGGGCTTTCGTGCTATGTTGGACACTTTCAAGTCTTCAGACCGTGAGAAAATAGAAATCCTATATAGAAAAAAAGATGCATCAAGATGCATCGATAATCGTTTTATAATTGCATCACAGCCCTCTGAATCGTAATCGAATCATGAGGTGCCTAGAGATTCCCACCCCTATTATTACTGTAAAGTTTTTAATGAAATATTACCTTTTCAAAGCGTCACCTGGCTTGTTTTTGGTATTAAAGCATGCTAACTGTCCAAGTGGCCAGTGCAAATTTGACCGCCCCTGCTTATATTAGTTTTTGTGTTTTCTGTCAGTCAAATGGTCTCAGTGGAGGTGCTGCTCCCAAGGTGAATGCCGGTGATGATGGCCAACCTTCAGAAGACAAAGAGAAATCCAAAACAGGTAGAGCATTTGTATTTCTCACACCAAAGATGCATTCAATGGAGCATTGTAATGTACACTGACCAGCCACTTCATTAAGTACACCTACTTGTTTCTACACTCATTGTTCATTTTATCGGCTCCCCTTACCATATAGATGTGCTTTGTAGTTCTACAGTTACAGACTGTAGTCCATCTGTTTCTCTGCATACACTTTCATCCTGTTCTTCAGTGGTCAGGACCCCCACAGGACCACCACAGAGCTGGGATAATTTAAGGTAGTGGATCATTCTGAGCACTGCAGTGACACTGATGAGTTGGTGGTGTGTTGGTGTGTTTCATGCATGTACAGGTGGATCAGACACAATTTTTAAAAACAATTTTAAACACAGCTGAGAGCAGTTCACCAACCAAAATATTCAGCCAACAGCGTCTTGTGATCACTGATGAAGGACCAGAGGATGAACAACACAAACTGTGCAGCAACAGATGAGCTATTGTTTCAGACTTTACAAGAGGATCAACAAGGTAAGAGTGTCCAATAGAGTGGACAGTGTGTAAAAGCAGTGTATAAAAGCTCCAGTAACACTGCTGTGTCACTGCAATGCTGAGAATGACCCTACACCCAAATTTTACCTGCTTTGTGGTGGTCCTAAGGGGGTCATGACGATTGAAGAGTAAGGTGAAAGAAGGCTAAGAAAGTATGCACAAAAGCAAATGGACTACAGTCTGTAATTGTGGAACTACAAAGCGTGCCTATATGGTAAGTGGAGCTTTTCAAATAGACAGAGTTTAGATACGAGGAGGGGTGCTTAATGAAGTGTCTGGTCAGTGTAGTCCAACAGTAGATTTAATTAGTTTCTTTCACAGTGGTCCCTTGTTTGCCTAAGCCTTTAGCCAGGGCCTGTAAGCAATTCACCAAAATAGCCAGAGCTGGAATCTTCACCTTGTGAAGGTAATCTGCTGCTCTGCTTATGTAGGCATTTATGTTAGTCCGTCTCTCTTATTTTAGATGAGGAGGATGGTGTGGTGACCACCACCAGCAGAAAGAGAAGTCGCGTATCAAAACACCATGTCGAGTCCGAAGATGGAGAGGACCAGAGTTTGGATCCTACTAAATTTGTTGTGAAGCTTACTGCAGACGGACGCTACATTTGTCATATATGTGAGAAGACTTTTAAAACGGTAAGTTGCATTTAGATACCATTCTGTAGGAGTATGGGCTCAAAAGTTAGATAGAAGTCTTACCGTGGTCGTCTTTTGATTGGTTTAGTTTTAAATCTGTGGTGTTTTTCCTGTTCTGTCTCCACATCCCCATGTAGACGAATATCTTGAGGACACACTTGTTCACACACACAGACAGGAAGGATTTTAAGTGTGAACTGTGTGGAACTGCATTCAGAACCAAGGGCTCGCTGATTCGCCATAAAAGGCGGCACACAGGTACAGAGAGGGGGTGGGGGGGGTGTGGTTTAGAAACATACCGGCAAACTAGTGCTGTCAAAAGATTACAATAATTGATCATGTTTGTCTTATTTACTCAAATTTGACCCTAAAGAAGAATGTTATCCATTTAAGAAGCAGTGGTCTTTGTCTTAGTAGATTCTTGTTATAGTGTACACTCTTGAGCAAAAATGTAGCTTTCCACTTTGCTATGCTTTTACTTTGCTTTTGTTAGTTTCACTCTGGTTGTTTTATCAATGGTTCTCCCTCAACCATTTTTTTTTACTATGGCAGTAACAGGAAATAATCCATAGCAAGTTACGGCACCTGGACAGCTCGGTTTCAGCCTGGGCTACTACAGATGGTGCAAAGTGTCAGACTGCTTTAACGTTTTTGAAAAATATGTCATGTTAATAATTCAACACGTTAACCTTTGACAGCCCTTCGGAAAACGTAACTGTGGCCTGGGCTGTGACCCACCTAGTTTGTTAATATGGGCCAAAGGACTTTCCTTAGTCTATTGCTGATTAAGATTGAGACCTGAACCTATAGTCTTACAAAGTCCACCTGCATGTATTTTGATACACTAAAAATAAACTTGACCTCTGCCAATACCTGGCCCAAGCAATCAATTATATGTTCCGCAGCCAATGCAACAGATCATCATGTGGCTTCACTAGATAGCTCCATGGATTTTATAAGCAGAACTGTCATGATCTACCTCTCAACATTTACATTATTTTGTTTCTCAGATGAGCGGCCTTACCGGTGCAATCAGTGCGGCCTCGCCTTCAGAGAGTCCGGTGCCCTGACTAGACACCTGAAGTCCCTCACTCCCTGTACAGAGAAGATCCGTTACAGCCAGTGCAAAGAAATCCTGGTCAGCAAAGAAGGCATTCGCACAGGTAAATAGCTTAAAGTGAGGCTTTAGTTTGTAGTGTTCCTTGTTTAATTTGCGCCCTTGGGCCAGGCATTTAACCCCCACTGCCCCAGGCGACGCTGCTCTGCTGGTGCCGAGCTGCTCCCAGATTGGGCATAATGTAACATAATGCTGCCTCACCAGGAAGCCTGGGTTGTCTTGTTCTGACTCAGTGGTGCATGCGTGTTGTTGTGTTATTGCAGAGGTCCAGCAGCCACCTGTGCTCTCTCAAAAAGAGCAGCCGATGCCCGTAGTCAGTGTGGTGGAGGCTGCCCAACATGGCATTCATATACAGGTGGTGGAAGACCTAGGACAAGTACATCAGGTCTTCATGTTATTTCCTTTTTCCATGTTCATGATTTGATTGGATTTCATATTTCACTATGTTCGTTAAGGTCACGGAACAGGCATTCTCTTTCATGACGCCTAAGGCCAGTTTAATGCCCAGTAAAATCTCTGATCTTCTCCAGACATGCAGACACATAGACTTATCTTGTGGGACTGTCTAATTCTGTTATTCATTTAGGTGATAAGGGGGATAAGGCAGACTTTTTGCAAACTCCCAGAGAGGCTGCTTGGGATGCAGGCTTTAGCAGACTTTGATTATGGCAGAGAAAGGCACACAATAACAAATGAAACGGGAAGAGTTAAATAATAAATGTATAAAGACTAGATAAACAAACGAAGAACGAGTTCCAACGCAAGGAAAACAATTTAAGTGCAAATATGCAGACTTTGCTTTCACCCTCATCCATGGAAGTAGGTTGAGCTGAAGTGCCCTCACATGAGTGCTTTCTCTATGTTTGCAGCCCTGCAGCCTCGCAGAACCAACGTGATGTTAAGCACTTTAGTGAACATCATAGAATGTATATTCAGAATCCGTGAAGTCGTGAGATTTACTTAGAACGATCATGTCTCATTAGTAATTTTTCATCAGTTCCCTTATAATGCTCTTAATACATTCATTGACTCAGTAATGTAACTATTTATTAGGACGAGGGAACATTTGAAACCTACCTTATAGAAATGATTCACTGGAAAAAAAAAAAATGGACGTAATGTTTCTCTTCCCCCAAACATGGTTTATCGGCCAAGACATTGGCATCCGAAGTTTGCTTTGTTAGTTTTATAACAGTACCAGTACCAGTACAAGGTCAATATAGCCAAAAAGCTAATTATTTTAGCTTCTTCTACTAGCCTGTTCTGTTATATTAACTATATTACTTCTAATATAGCCCCATAGCTTCAGTGCTGAACTAATGAATCAGACTTCGGACACCAAATATGTCTTGGGCAGTTTACTACGTTTGAGGTAAGGGAAAATTGTGTGTACCATTCCTTTAAAGCGTGTATGCAGTTTTGTTTTGTTTTGTTTTTCACATAAGCCATTGACTACATGTCTAAAGACTGGGTGGTGTTTTCTTCTGGGCAGGTGGTGTCACAGTCTCCAACTGAAGCTGTGGTCGAGGGAGACAGTTTGATCTGCCAGGCCATCATCAATTCAGGCATTGCCCTGGAAACTGAGGCCACAGAGGCAGCAGTGCAGGCCGAGGCACGGTCACCTAAAGGTCCTGAGGCTGAGGCAAGGCTTGCAGAGATTCAGGTGACTGAGGAGTGTGTGGAGGTGGAAGAAGAGACCGTGGTGAGTGGGGAAACTGCTAATAGTGTTCTTTTTTTGTGTTCATATCCTGTGCCTTTGTTAACTGGGAATGTTGAAATATTGCTCAAAAGCTACAGTCAGAGATACAAAAAAGAATTTGTAGTGTCACTAGCTCAAATTCCTGGATACTTGCAGTACCTGCATTACTATGCAAAAGTCATACACCACCTTTATTTATTTTTATTTCTAGTCAAAATGACTATAAAGTACAAGTTATTAGTACAAGTTATTAGTTTTACCTTCAGGAATAAACCAGACAGCACAAACACACCAAGCACTTTATTAGGAACACTACACTAATGCTGGGTAGGCCTCCCTTTGCTCTTATATCAGCCTCAGTTCTACATGACATGAATTCCACGTTTCCATGTTGGAAAGATGGCTTTTTCTTATGGTGAATGTAGCCATTAGAAGATGGCTGAATTGTGGCAATGAAGGGATACACATGCAACAATACTCGAATAGGCTGTGGGATTCAAGCGATGATTGATTGGTATTAACAGGCCCAAAGTGTGCCAAGAAAACCTTCCCCACACCATTACACCACCTCCACCAGCCTGGACTATTAACACAAAGTAGGTAGGTCCATGGATTCATGCAGATGGTGCCAAATTCTGACCCTGCCATCTGTGTGCCTAAGCACAAATCGAGATTAATCAGACCAGGTTACGTTTTTCCCACTGCAGGCTCAGTTTTCTGTTCTTGGCTGATTAGAGGTAGAACCCAACATGGTCTTCTGCTGGTGCAGCTCATCCGCCTCAAGGTTTGACATGTTGTGCATTCTGAGATGCTTTCTGCTCACCACAGTTGTACAGCGTGGTTATCAGACTTACCGTAATAAGTGATAATTGCTTGAATGAGTGAGTGTATAGGTTTTTCTAATAAAGTGCTTGGTGACTGCATATGTAATAGAAAATTATGCAGTCTCAACATATAATATGAAAAGTGTCTATATTAAGTATATGCATCCTTCACCCTCTGCTTCAGACTTGCTTTCACTTTTTCAAAGTTTTTTCCACACCTCCAAAGTTCAAACTCAGCAGTTGGTTGCATTTTATCCTTTTCACAATCCGAGTAATTGCCCTCACATCCAGCGATGAAAAATGAATACCTTGTTTTGACTGTAAATTAAATAAATGAAAGTTTTTTGTTGTTAGCTTCTTTTTGTTTTTTTTAATTGTATACTTTCTATTTGCTTGAAGGACTCTTCAGAGAAGGAAGGGGAAGCAACACCATCTAAGTCACACAAATGTCCTCACTGCGATCGAGTCTTCAGAACAATGTCTCACCTACGCATTCACATCAAAGGCCATGTTGGTAAGCTCCAGCCCAAATAAACATTTTCTGACTGTGACCGAAATGGATCCCTGTTTGCGTTTTAGGACGCGATTAAGAATGTCAATCATTTTTGTCTGATGACTGATTCATAGAACAGAGGGATTTTGAGGGCACTGTAATCTCCCACAGTGATGTAGCTGCTGAGCCTGTGAAAGTGAAACCTATCAGACTTTCTGGTGAAAGACACACTGCGCAAAACAGCAGCTCTGAAAAGGACCCTAATTGTGTTCATTCAGCATAAACATTGAGTGGTAATTGTGGACTACTGCAGTCATGAGGCAAAATTGTGTATCAAGGTCAAGTTTTATAGTTTTCCCATGTGCCCTGCATTTTTCTAAACATTACGCCCATGTTTATGGCTATGAGAAGCCTTTTTAACCTTGCTTAAGCAACTTATGCTGGTTTGTTTATTTGACTGAGAGGCCGATGAGAAAGTGTCCGAATTTGATGGTTCGTGCATTTTTAATGCAATTTTTGAAACTATATAGTTCTCAGCTATAAAGTGCAATACTAATGAGGGAGTAGGGATCCATTTTGGTCGCAGCCTCTGTTCTTTCACAGTGTCCTCAGTTAGCACTGTTCCATATTCTGGAATTACCCTTATTCATTGTTCTCTACTGTAAATTAGGCCAGGGTTGGTGGGTTCCAGAAAAAATGTAAAATGCTATTTTCTTACTTGGCAGGCTACAAGCCATTTAAGTGCCTCACATGTCAGAAGGAGTTTCTAACGGGCTACATGCTGAAGAAGCACATGGAGGTGCATGTGAGTGAGCGCAGGTATAAGTGTGGCGAGTGTGGCAAGCTATTCAAAGCCATTGGGCATGTGCGGGAGCACATGCGGGCGCATTCCAGTGAGCGGCCTCACCACTGCAACCTGTGCGACAAGAGCTACAAGACAAAGGTGAGCTAAGCAGGCACCATCACAGCTTTTGAAATGGTCAGTTTTAGCTGACCAGTGAATGTTCAGTCATGAAGACTGATGTTATTGGCCATAAACTTTTGACAAACAGAATAAACAGTTAACATATAGACAAACTAATATGACAATCATTAAACTAGAGGTGGGCAGTAGGACAATATTTATTGTTTTGGTGAAAAATATAAATATTTCACAATATGCTTTTCTGAGCATGTTGTGGAAATTCTCAGCTCATAAATAACACTGATCAATTGCATGTTACAATACAAAGTAAGCGTAATTAAGTCTGTTTAATTTAATGTAGTACAGCACAGTATGTGGATTGTTGAATAAAGGTCATTGGCTTTAGGTGTTTTTGAAAGTATTTTTTTTATATGACACTACTGGTGCTTCTTTCTGTATTGCAATTTCAAACCTCACTCCTAAAGGTTAGGATCAGTGCTGGCTAATGTGTGTGGGTTATAAATAAATGTGGCAGTTTTAGGTTGTGATGTGTCCTAAAGAACCATTTCAGTAGATAGAAATAAAAGCAATAAACAAGCTGAAATGAGTCATGTTGTGATGACCAAGTTGTTGTGATCCTGCTTCAGAATGCACTCCAGGTCCACCATCGCACACACGGAGAAGATAAGCCGTATGTGTGTCCACACTGCTCTCGTGGTTTTCGGGAAAAAGGTGCTCTGGTGCGTCACATTCGCCACCACACCGGTGAGAAACCCTTCAAATGCTCCAAATGCGGCCGGGGCTTCGCTGAGCATGGCACTCTAAACCGCCATTTACGATCTAAAGGTAAGGCCGCTGGCTACAAGTATCAAATCATACAGGCTTGAGTATACTGTCACAGAAATCACGTACTTCATGCAAGTTTGCGAATGTAGACACAAGCTGCGCAGACATGGTTTTGCACATTGTTGCATACTAGAATGTGTCATAGCGCAATTCATAACACAACACAAGCGCAAGCTGCATTCTGAGCATTACAGCAAGGGGCATCTCTATCTATAGATAGATAATATCTAATAATCTATATATCTGTCTATTTATCTGTGTGTGCGTGTGTATACACAACCCCAATTCCAAAGAAGTTGGGATGCTGTGTAAAATATAAATAGATGTACAACACTATTTCCAAAAAGGTTGGGACCCTCTGCAGAATGTAAATAAAAATAGGATACAGTGATATGTAAATCATGTAAACCATATTTTTAATGGAAAATACTACAAAGGCAACATATCAAATGTTGAAAGTGAGAAATTTTATTGTTTGCTGAAAAATATATGCCCGTTTTGAATTTGAGGCCAACAACACATTTCAAAAAAGTTGGGACTGGGGCATGTTTACCACTGTGTTTCTTCCCCTCTTCTTTTGACAAACTCTGTAAGCATTTGGGAACTGAAGAGACCAATTGCTGTAGTGTTGAAAGCAAAATGTTTTCCCGTTCATGTTTGATATCAGATTTTAGCTGCTTAATAGTTTGGGTTCTGCTTTATTGTATTTTTCATTTCGTAACCCTCCATATGTTTTCAGTGGTGACAGGTCTGGACTGCAGGCAGGTCAGTTAAGCATCCAGACTCTTTCAATACGGAGCACTGCTGTTATAATACATGCAGAATGTGGTTTGACATTGTCTTGCTAAAATAATCATGTCTGTTTGTAACGCAGTGCTGCCTGAGGGCCCAAAGATAATGGCCAGCAAATACTGGTTTTTGGCCTTGTCCCCTGCATACAGAGATTTCTCCAGATTCTCTGAATCCTTTAATGGTATTATGTACCACAGATGATGAAAAACAAAAGTTCTTTGCTATTTTGCATTGAGAAGCGTTATTTTTTAATTGTTGCATTATTTGCCCACTCAGTCTTTCACAGAGTGCTGAACCCCTGCTCATCTTCTGAAAGACTCATCCTCTCCGAGATGCTTTTTATACCCAGTCATGTCACTGACCTGCTGCCAATTATTCACCAGGTGTTTTTTTTTAAAACATTTTTTTTAGCATTACACAACTTTACCAGTCTTTTGTTGCCCCTGTCCTAACTTTTTTGAAACATGTTGTTGACATCAAATTTAAAATGGGCATATATTTTTCAAAAAACAATAAAATAGCTCAGTTTCAACATTTGCTATGTTGTTTTTGTACCATTTTCAATTAAATATGGGGTTTAATTGTTTTCCACAACATTGCATTTTGTTTTTATTTACATTTTGCAGTGTCCCAACTTTTTTTGGAAATGGGGTTGTAAATAAACAGAATGCAATGATTTGCAAATCTCATAGACCCATGTTTTATTCACAATAGAGCGAAGAACACATCAGATGTTGAAAGTGAGATATTTTACCATTTCATGAAAAATATAAACTCATTTAGAATTCGATGGCAGCAACATATCTCAAAGTTGGGACGGGTAACAAAAGTGCTGGAAAACTAAGTGGTACTAATATAAAACAGCTGGAGGAGCAATTTGCAACTAACTCACATGACTGGGTATAAAAAGAGCATTTAAGAAAGGCAGAGTGTCTCAAAAGCAAAGATGGGCAGAGGTTAACCAATCTGAAAAACTGTCTAAAAATTGTGGAACAATTTCAGAAAACTGTTCCTTAACGTAGAATTGTGACTTTGGATATCCCACCACCTACAGTACATAATATCATCAAGTGATTCAGATAATCTAGAGAAATCCCTGTAGGCAAGGGACCAGGTCGGCGGTCAATATTGGATCCTCCTGATCTTCGGGCCCTCAAGCAGCACTGCATTAAAAACAGGCATGATTTTGTACTGGAAATCACTGCATGGGCTCAGGACCCCTCCTAGAAATCATAGTCTGTGAATACACTTCGCTATGCAATCCACAAATGTTAAGAAGTGTAACCAAAAAAGTTAAAGCTGTATCATGCAAAGAAGAAGCCGTATGTCAACATGATCCAGAAACGCTGCCGTCTTCTCTGGGCCAAAGCTCATTTAAAATGGACTGAGGCAAAATAGAAAACTGTTCTGTGGTCAGATGAATCAAAATTTGAAATTCTTTTTGGAAGCCTAGGACGCCGTGTCCTGCAGACTCGAGAGGAGAGGGACCATCCGGCTTGTTATCAGCGCACATTTCAAAAGCCTACATCTCTGATGACATGGGGTTGCATTAGTGCCTGTGGCGTGGGCAGCTTACATATCTGGAAAGGCACTATTGATGCTGAACAGTATATAAAGGTTTTAGAACAACATATGCTCCCATCCAGACAACGTCTCTTTCAGAGGAGGCCTTGCATATTTCAGCAAGACAATGCTAAACCACATACTGCATCCATCACCACAGCATGGCTTCGCAGAAGAAGAGTCCAGGTGCTGAACTGGCCTGCCTGCAGTCCAGACCTTTCACCAGTAGAAAACATTTGGCGCATCGTGAAACAAAAAATCCGGTAAAGAAGACCCCGGACTGTTGAGCAGCTAGAATTCTACATCAGGCAAGAATGGGATAACATTCCTCTTCCAAAACTCCAGCAATTGGTCTCCTCACTTGCCAGATGTTTACAGATTGTTGTTAAAGGAAGAGAGGATGCTACACAATGGTAGACATGGCCCTGTCCCAACTTTTTTGTGTGTTGTCTTTACATGAGTATGTTTCTGGCCTTAGACCTGATCAGTGTTGTAAAATGTGTGCGTATGTCCTTCAGGAGGCTGTTATGCAGTGCAACAAAAGGATCCAGATCAGGTGTTGAGTACTGAGGAACAGCAGGAGTCCACAGACAGTGTGGCAGCCACCATTATCACTGAGGACCCACACACAGTGCTAGTAGAATTCTCCTCTGTGGTGGCTGATACTCAGGAGTACATCATAGGAGTGAGTTTACTGCACTGTTCGTGTTTGGGGCTCCCAACCCCAGCATGGTGACACTGTGCAATTTTTTTATTTTCCTGGCTCTAACCTTATATAGGGGCAACTCAAAACTCTGGTTGAATGTTGACTAGCTCTTGACTGAAATTTCAGCCTAAGAAAAAAACATGAACAAAACTGATTAAATTAGGATCACCAACCTCGCAGTATGATTTGTTAGTTATGCCAAAGTCATTGCTGCAATGACATTCTTATGTAGCTCTCAGTGGTTAATTACAGCTGCACATAACGAGCTGTCCGTTTGAGGACGAACACTTAGTCTGATGGACAGAACAAAGCACCACATGCAGTAAATGCTGTTTTTAGGAGGTTACCTCTGGACAGGGCAGTGCCTACGGTTCACTGCGAGACTAAACTAAAACTTGATTTACATCTTGAGACTCAACTCTTTGACTCTTAACACACCTCACCCAGCACAGTAGGAACTGATGAGAAATCAGGTGTGATTAATAAATAAAAGCACAAAAATGTGCAGTGTTTCCTGGACTGGGATTGGAAACCTTACACAGAGATAGACTTGAATTTTTTTTTGATTGTTAGTGCTTAGTGGTGCAAGACACATTTCTGCAACAGTAGACAAGAGAATATTACCTTATCTTATTATATGTCCTCCTTTTGGACATTTACCTAAAGATAAATAAACCTACTTTCTAGGCACCAGCTGATGAAACAGCGCAAGGGGAGGAGGTGTCCATTATTCAGGACAATCATAGCCAGGTAAGTATGGTATTGTGTTTAGCTGGACTAAAGTCACCAATGACTAGCTTTTTTTGTATGTATGATTTTGTATCCAGTATCATGAGTTACTTGCTTTTTCAGTAGACCACTATTGCAGTTCCTTAGTATTATGTAGCAAAAAATCTCATTTGCACACAATGTTCCTCTTATTCTAAAGGTAGTCCATCAGCCAAGACTGATGGATTTTTTAGATTTTTTTTTTTTGTTTGTTTTTAAATGTTTCATAGCTGTACTTCAGAATGTGTCCTGTACTTTGTTGTGTACTATGTTACCTGTAGTGAGGAAACTACTTAAGTCAACTAAATGTAATAATTTTCACATCATCTTGTAGATGGACAGCCAAATCATGAAGGTTGTGCAGCATATTGTGAGTCAGTCGCATGGTAGCCACCAGATCATTGTGCGGAATGTGGGTGCTGACGAGAGCCCCAGTGTGTCCGACTGCGGCGACACAATCACCATCGCCACACCCGAGAGCCTCACTGAACAGGTGGCCATGACGCTGGCCAATGCCATCGGCGACGGCACCATCCTGACCACCTCTGCCACAGAGGGCGCCATGGAGACACAACACGCTGCCGTCACTGTGGTTGCAGCTGAAGACATGGGATTGATGCAGCAAGAGGAGCAGTATGTCATCGCATCACCTGAGGACATGGAGATTCAGACGGTGGTGGTGGTCTGAGGCAAAGGACCCAAAGGAAATCACCCTCTCCATGAACTCTGGGGAAAAGCAGTCTCCCGTGGAGCTGCTCATTTTACTTATCTGTGGTAGCAGTTTGTTCTCCCAACATGCCTTATTGTCTTGAATATCCAAATAATCTGCACTTAAAAGGAGGAAAATTGGTTTCTTGAAGTGTGCAAACATATAATTGCACTAAGTTATTTTTATAATCAATGTGTTGTATGCAGTTATCTGCAGACAATGATACCAAATTAGCCTGACTAATTATTCCCTTCAGACCTGGTTGGCAGTGAACAACAAATGTACTCTGCTGTTGATGGCCATTGTGCAGGATGTATTTCTTTAAGGTTCTCAGGGCATAAGTGCTGATCTAAGATCAGTGTCAGCACACCTCAGACTTTAATGCATAGGAATTAAAAAAACAATCTGAACACTTTCCTGTTACAGTGCATGTTTGTGCACATATTGTTCCATGTATTTGTTTGTTTAATAGATAAAAGCTCTCATTGAAAGCTGTTTTATTTCATTTATTGGACTCTAATGCTGCATGGACATAGAGGTGCACTTCTTTGCAGCCAGTGAGGACTAACATGCTACTTCATGACAAGTAGGCCAACCAGAAAATTCTGCTTACATTTGACAGCTTGATTTCATTACCCTGCCTCTCAGATTTCTATAAACTATATTCTTTTATCGTTTGTGGGTTTGTAGCAGATGAGGTGATGATGGATTCATTGGATGTATGGCTTATTCCATCTTCCAGCAAATTGTGTTTATTTGTGAGACAGACAGACCATCCGAGTTATGATTGATGCTTTTTGTAGCTCACAGCTGTGTTATCAGCAGGTGATAGATGGACAGTTTGTAGAATCACTCACCTGGCAGATCTGGGCCACACTACAGCCTTGTTCACTTTGCCACCATTTTTTTTAACACCCCCCTCCTGTCTCCCCTCCTGTCAGGTCATTACTGCACATGCTGTTGCCAAGGATACTGTGGACAGATGCACCGTTTCTAACCCCTCAGGATCCTCTCATGTACCCTCATATTGTGGTGCCGTTTTGAACAGAAAAGAAGAATGCTGCCCCAGTATACACAACCCAATGCCTTATCAGTAAACTAGCCAGTGTTATATTAATAGAAAGCTCCATATTTATTAGAAAGCTGAAGGGCGAGTATAGATATTCCATTGCTAAAGAGGACTCTAAATGTAAGAACCAGCAGTCAACCATCTGTAATCTTCATATCATCCTTTATTTTCAATAGGTTTCAATTGACTTTCAATTTTTTCTGCTAAGCTGAGAAACAATTCCATTGTTTGAACACTTAAACTGCATGCCTATTATTCGGTAACCACTATGAAGCTAATATGTTAAATGTAGTAGTTATTTGAGGTAAGCTACATGTATCTTGTGTAATGTAGCATGTTAAGCGAATGGGGATCCATGTGACGGTTGCAGTTTAGTTTCTTTGATTGCGTGGACATCTGCAAACATATGTTGATGAACCCTACTGTCATTTTGGTGGATGTTACTTTTTCCCCTCTGATCCCAGATAAGATTTAAATAGCTACAGTTAGGATTCAGAAATGAGGAACTTGACTTTTACCATCATCCAGACCTTTCATGGAGAAGAAATGGTTGTTACACTGTATAAGCAAAGAGAATCACTTGTCCTCCAATCATAAAAAAAAGAAAAAGCTTATGTTTATTAAATTTTAAAAGAGAAAATTCAACTAAATTTGTCAAAAAAATGTCTAATTAAATGGTTAAGATGTAGTAATTTGGTTTGATATGAACTGCTGCATTCTGGAGAAAAAAGAATGACGAGTAAAAATTGTTCACAGTGGTGGTGATGGGAACCAGGGCCTATATTCACAAAACTTCAGAGTAGGAGTGCTGATCTAGAATCTGTTCCTATCTGTAAAGTGATAGTGCATGTCTGAATACCTCTAAAAGCTACCTCACAAAAAAGGTATTACATGAAATGGTTGACAATATACTGTTTCATGCCCGAGATGTTTTAGAAGTTACAAGATGGCATAGAAAATATTTTTTTTATTATTTAATCCATTCATGGCAAAGAGGTACATGGAAGGCATGAAGGAAAGTACCCAAAGAAAATCTTTGCCACTATTTTACCATTATCAACATTACATCTAAAAACTCAGAAGACGTGTGGGTTCACTGGTTGTTTTGGACTGTAAATGAAATTACTGTTTTGTGTTGTAGACATGCCCTGGTTCGCATCACCACTGCTGTAAAGAAATCAGTGTTATTTTCTCCACAATGAACCATTTCACATCAAACCACTCCAGATGCCTTTGTTTACATCTCAGTTATTGAATTATGCAGAAATTATTTTTAAAAATGGATGGAATTCAAGTTTGTGCTGAAAAAATATATTGAGGAAATCTTCAAACATTTACAAGGGAAATCACTGGTTCCACAGGAGTTCCATAAAAGGGTTTATGTGCCTCTTGTGTTTGTAGCATAAAACAGTTTTCAGGGTATAACAGGCCAGTTTCCGTGAGGCACTATTAAATGTTAATTTTATTGTTCATCTAAAGATTACTCAGCTATGCTTCTGAAGTTCACTCTGGCCTTCATCAACACAGAGACCTTCTGGGATTCAAAAGTGAAATTCTGCTGCAGAGAGTCCAGTGATGAGATGTCCAAGGTCATTAGGCCCTATGGGGTAAACAAGTTTCCCGCTGCCAGAATCTTCCTGCCAGGTAAGCCTCGGGGGAAATAAACGCCTGCTCTGCATTTCTGTGGAGATACCTCTTTGAATGAACAGCAAGCAGAATATTAGACCGTGCATCATCTTTCTCCCACAAAAATGCTCTGACGTGGCCATTACTGCCAGCAAATTAGTATCTGTTCAGATGGTCATGCATATTCATCTGAGCTATACTGTCTTTATATGTAGCTGGGCTTCACAATTTATGTGATTTTTTTTTTCCCCCCCATTGTCTACATGTGTGATGCTTATAGCAATGACTAATATAATTAAGTAAATAGGAACGTGTAAAAACTAGCTCAGTGTTTAAGACAGTTATTGCCAAATCAGACGACTAACAACGTATTTATTTTTATTTATGTTTCCTGTAATTTCTAAAATGATCTAAGATTATGTTTAGGAGATTATTAAATTTACTTGTCACGCAATTAAGATTATAATCTTAATCTATGGGTTTTTTTATGACCTTAAAGGACATTTTTAGAATAATTTAAACGTAAAAACTCAATAACAAACTCATAACATGTAACATAATCTACGCACCATACTGACAAAAGCTTTACCAAACAAACGGTTGTCCATGAAGAGGCAGTTGAGCGCGTGGTGCCTGTGGAGGTTCAGTGGTAAGTCCTAATTTTTTTAACCAGGCAAATACCATTTAAATAGAAAATATAATTATTGTTTGTCATTTTCAGACATGTAAATTCGCTCTATTGCAAGTAAATATTAAAAAAAAAATGTTATTCTGGCTTGGTGTTTTTTGTCAGGCACATGACGTGGCTAGCTCTAAAACTAGCCATAGTATGCTAACGCAGCTAACGATGTTTTCGACCAGAAAAAACGACAAAATATCAAGTCCTCACATTAATTTCCACCGCATTATGTTCAATGGAGACTACAGTTTATCTTGACTGTTTGCTTTAAGAGTATGAAATAATGATATATCTGCATAATTTGATTGAGAAAACTCGTTTTTCATTATCTTAAAATAATCGGTAACATTTGCGGTTAATACCTTGGACCATAGATATACATACCCAGATGCCGCGTTGCCTGTTGTTCTCTATCTGAGGCGATACGTCTGCGTTTCCGCCATGTTAGAGCGGTCAACATCCACTTGTGAACAAATTAACTTGTATTGAGAGGTGATGAGTCTCAGGATTAAATCGGCCACAACTTCCTTATTACTCAACCGATTTTCACCAAATTTGTTTTGTTATAATGAAGGTTGGGAATCTCTAGGTACCCACGATTAGATTACGATTCAGAGGGCTGCGATGCGATTATAAAACGATTATCGATGCATTTCGATGCATCTTCTTTTTCCTATGTAGCATTTATATTTTCTCACTGTGTGAGCTTAAGTTTCGAGTTTAAGTTTCAGGTTTATTTGTCACTTGCACAACATGTCAGGACATTTATGCATTGAAATGCTTGTGGTGAGGCTCAGGTAATCACTCTACAGAAAGTAAATAAGTAAAAATAAAAATATAAGAAAAACCAACTGAAATATATTAAATATACACAAAATATAGACAGAATATAGAGAATCGATTTTTTCCCCGCACCCCTAGTTATAATCCTCAGACACAGATTAATCTAGGACTGCTCTCAGTAGCTTTTATTTCTTTAATAACTGATCGTGATAATTAGCCGTACGGACAGATGCACCTGACGTTAAAAATCGAGTTTAGCGCGAGCTCTGGTAGAAACACAATCTCACAATCAGCAAATCCATTAATATGGGAATCACTTTTCATCTTAAAACACATTAAAAAAAAAATAAACCCCCAAAGACAGTAAGAAGGATGAAGCTACAACTGGCTTCCTATTCACCAGCTTCTTTCAGGTGCCTGAAGCTGCACGATTTAAGGTGGAATGGGAACATTCGAACAAGATGCTGGCAAATAAGAAGCTAGCTTAAGCTTTAGCTTTACACACAGCATTAACCATCATGTAAATAAATAACTACTTGTTAAATAATTTGTCAATTTCATGTTGAATACTTGTGCGCATGTCATAAAGCCCCTTTGTAGGTAGCCTTCAAAATAAAGTCTTGCCAAGTTTTCAGGGCTAAAGGAATGGATAGTTTAGTTCAGTCCTTGCCATCCCTTTAAGAATGGGTTCTCATTGGTTTTTGTCAGTTATCTACAACCACTGGTGCCACATGGTACGGCTGGTATTCAAACCCTAAATCCAAGCACAAACACTGAACCCTCCACTTCTGGGCAGTGCTTTCACTTTGGAGGCCAGCCTTTGTTGTGAACATAGATTAGTGGTTTATGGCAGTGTTTGTAAAGCCAAATGTGTTTAAACTGTGCGCTGTGTTTGACCTTGGCCTGAGGACGGGCCTCCTTCCCTCACGCTGCTCGCAGTGTCTCTCTCCGACGCGAATCAGTGAAGCGCTGTCCTTCACCAGAGCGCCAGCATTCGTTTCTGGGTCAGCTTTCAGCCCTCAGAGAGGGCCCGAGCCACCAGAACGAGAGAGAGAGCGAGTGAGAGTGAGAGAGGGGGAGGTATTTATAGAAAAATAGGGCTCCACAGTACCTTTTTCCTTGCAAAAGAACCATTACAGGGACCCAGCTAGAGTGTCCCAGATTTCTGATCAGTGCTCTGCGTGAGGGCCAGGGCTGGACAAACTTAGCAGAGATGCAGAGCCCTGCTTGGAAAGAGCTCTGTGTTCTCCCGCACTCTTTACCTCCTCTCCACCACTCTTTCTGGGCTGGACCCGCTGGTGTGATGGAGCTTTGAGAACTTCTGGCTCCTGCCA